GTCGAGTGTGCGATATTTTCTTGTCCTTAGAGGTTGGAGGCGCCCTATGGGTACCCGCGGGGGGCTCGAAACCTTCAGGACACACTTTTCCCACGATCTCAGAGCCTGCGCAGCCCCGGCGCCGACGGTGTCGCAACACAGTTTCTCGGGCAGCGTGCGGGCATTCGAGGTCGAGAACTTTTCGTGTCCTGAGATGCTCGAGCCCATCCATAGGTACCAACGAAGGGCTCTGCAGCGCCAGCAGACGGTCCACGACCATCATCATCGCGAACACGTCCAAGAGCTGCCCCAAAACCCCCTTCCTCGCGTGGCGCCAAACCGGACACGGTGCCCTCCAGCGCGCCTCGGTTTCCTTCCACCGGACCCGAACCGCCCGGACGCGTAAGTCTTGTCGCGGGCGCCTTCGCGGGGGAGCGAATACCGCTGCGGTCCGTCTGGGGCCGCGTCGACGACGGCGGCGTCGAAAAGTCCCCGGCCAAAAGTCGTCAACATTGCCCCAAAACGATGGGTTGCAGTACGAGGAGCTCGCGCAACATAATCTCGTTGAGCTGCCACCCCATACTATTTATTACCCCTTGGCACCACAGCCACGCGGCAGCCACGATGATGACCTCGCGCGCCGCGCGCTGGCTCCTCGCGGCGCTCGCCGCGCTCGGCGCCGCGCCCGCCGCCGCCGACGACGGCCTCGACATGGCGAAGATGTATTTCGGCATGCTGGACACGGACGCCGACGGCAAGGTGTCGAGGCCAGAGCTCGACACCTTCGTGACGAACATGATGGCCATGAGCGGCGTGCCGGACCTCGCCGACGACCCCGCGCTGCCGGCCATGATCGACACGGCCTTCGCGATGAGCGACGCGGACAAGAGCGGCTTCGTGAGCCTCGAGGAGGCCGCGGTGACGCAGGAGGAGATCACGAAGATGGTCGGCGCGTTCATGGCCGAGAAGATGCAGGGCGCCGACCTCTAGGGGCGGGAGCGAGGTTCACACACCAACCTAAGAACTAAAGTTTACTTGTTACGCGTCACAGCGGGGTCCGGCAGGAGAGGAACGCGTGGTACTGGCCGTCGTCGACGTGCTTCGTCTCGAGCGCGCCGAGGAGGGGCCTGCGGAACGGTCGCGCGCTGAAAGATGGACTCAACACGGAGACGCCGGCGCGCCGCACGCGAGCCTTGCGGCGAGCATGTGCTTGCAGAGGACCGCGGTCTCGACGGCTTTCGCCGCCTCGAAGAACGGCGGGCAGGAGCAGTAGTCCGGGAAGCAGGCGTAGCGCCGCTGCGTCGCGCCCTGGGCCGCCGGCGCGTCGATGGCGACGAAGCAGCGGTCGCTGGGCCGCGCGACGACGCGCACGAGGGACCGCGTCCGCAGCACGTCGACCGCCGCCTCGAGCAGTTCGCGGCTCTCATCGTCGGCGCCGAAGAGGTCGTTGGCGACGCGCAGCGCGCGCATCTTGTCGTCCGCCGCGGACGCCGACGACGTCGACTGGATGTGCGCGAGGGCGGCGTCGAGCGTCGCGAGGCGATCCATGTGTTGTTGTGGTGGTGTTGTGACGATGCTATTGCTGCGCTTTGCTGTTGCTGTCGATGCTGCGCGAAGGCGACCGCGGCCGAGATCTCTTGCGCGTCGCTGTTGCTGCCGATGCTGCGCGCAGGCGACCGCGGCCGAGGCCTCTTGCGCGTCGAGCCGGCCGGTAGTCGACGGAGCCGGCTCGGCCAACCTCGAGGTCGACCTCGCCAAAAATCACCGCAGGCGCGGCTCCTCCAAGCGTCGTCGTCGCCGCGCGCGCGAGCTCCCGCTCCATCGCGCTCAAGCGAAAGAACCGCGTCGGGGCGCGCTCCAGCGAAAGAACCGCCTCGGGACGCGAGAACCCTCGAAAAATGGCGCTGCTCGAGCTCCTCCTGGCCCACGACGAGCACAACTACGCCGCGGCGTCGCTCGTCGTCGTCGTCGTCTACGCGCTGAGCGCCTACGTCGCGAAGCCCGGCGGCGCCGGCGTCTCGGCCAAGGGCGCGAACGCCAACGTCGACGCGGCGCCCGAGACGCGCGCCGCGTTCGCGTCGTTCCGCCGCGCGTACGTCGTCGCGTTCGGCTGCGGGCTCTGGTGCGAGTTCGCCGGAGCGGCCATGCTCTTCGCGGCGCTCCGCGAGACCTACCCCATCGTCGTCGTCGCCGAGCTCTTCGCCGCGTCCTTCGCGGGCTCCTGGGCCTCGCGCGCGTTCCTCCGGCGCGCGGCGGAGGCCGCGCTCGGCCTCAGGGGCGCGTGCGCGTGCGGCCTCGCGCTCTACGCCTGCTCGGCGCTGGGCACGGCCGTGTCCTGCGACCGCGAGGGGCTCTACGCCCTGCTCGTCGCGTCGCGCGTCGCCGCGGGCGTCGCGCAGCCCGTGCTCCAGCAGAGCTTCGAGGCGTACCAGCGGAGCGCGCACGCGGCCGCGCGGTACCCGTCGGGCTGGCGCCGCGAGACCTACGAGGCCGTCGGCTTCGCGTCGACGGCGGCGTCGCTGGGCGCCGGCGTCGGCGCCGAGGTTTTCGCGCGGCTCGCGGGCGGCGACCGCCGCGCGCCGCTCGCGGCGTCGGCCGCCGTCGCGGCGGCCGGCGCGGCCGTCGTCGGCCTCGCGTGGCCCGCGGCGCCGCCGCCGCCGGAGGCCGCGTCGTCGACGACGGGCGTCTGCGGCGGCGACGCCGAGGCCGGCGGCGGCTTCCTCGAGTTCCGGTCCGTCGCCGGCACGGGCGGCCGCCGCGGCGTCGTCGTCACGCTGGCGGGCGCGTGCCTCGACGCCGCGGCCTACCTCGCCCTCGTCGCCTGGGCGCCCGTGCTCGCGCGCGTCGACGGCGACGCGCCCTTCGGCCTCGTCTACTCGCTCGCGATGGCCGCGGCGGTTATAGGCACGAACGGCTTCGCGCTCGCGGCGTCGCGGAGGCCGCCCAAGTTCGAGGCGCTCGCGGCGGCGGCCTGCGCCGTCGGCGCCGTGGCCTTCGCCGTGCTCGCGTACCACCGCGACGACGTGCCCGGCGCCGTCGCGCCCTTCCTCCTCTTCCAACTCGCCTTCGGGTGCTCGAAGCCCGCGTTCGCCTCTTTGCGGGGCAAGCACGTGCCCGCGGAGAGCCGCGACGCCGCGGCGAAGCTGAGCTCGGCCTTCGTCGCCGGCGCGGGCCTCGCGCTGACCCTGCTCTACCCGGGCCACCCGACCGCGGTCTTCGCGGCCTGCGCGGCCATCTGCGGCACCGCCGCGCCCGCGCTCGCGCTGCCCGCCGCGAAGTAAGTTTGTCCGCTTTTCGATTCGGCGGTGATTAGAAGTGGGATGCTGCGCTCTACTTCTTCCGAGACGCGGCCTCGCGCTTCGGACGCTTCCGGGCGGCGGGAGGCGACTTCTTCCGGGAGGCCGAGGCCCGCTTCCCGGAGGATTGCGCCGGCGAGGTGCCCGGCTCTTGCTTGACGACGCCCTTCTCGGTCTTGACCTTGACCTTGCCCGGGCCTTCCGACAGCCGGCGCGCGGTCGGGCAGGGCCGCGCGGCTCCGAGCGAGACGTGGCGGACGACGATCTCGAGCAGCCGCGTGTAGCATTCCGCGTCTTCCTCCTTCTTTTTGATGGCATCGTAGAGCCCCGTGGTCGGCGCCCCGGCGTCCAGCAGAACCTCGAGAATAGAGTGCTGTCCATTTTCAGCCGCGGTCTGCGCCGCGGTCTGCATGCCGATTTTTGGGTACGCGCCCAGATCCATTCCTGGCTTTTTGCAGATCAGCTTGACCATCCGAAGTGCCTTCTCTGAATCAGCGTTTCCGCTGCGGCCACTGGACATCTTCACAAGGATGTCGACGAGGTTGCTATGGTAAACCGAGGGGCTTTCAACTCCGTAATCTGTATTTGCGTCAATCGACGTGAGGTGGAACGCGAAGCGATCGACTTCCAAATTCAGCGCCGCGTAGAGCAGAGCACCGAAGCCCTCGCGCAGCTTGATCGGACTGTCCGGGGATAAAGCGTCGTGGTAAAGGTCGTGCGCGGGGTCGTCTTGCGTGCTCCAAATTTCAACGTGCCACGGATCATCCGAGCTCACGTGCTCGCTTACTTTACCAACGTCACTATTTAAATGATAGTAACGCTCACCGTACGGACTGAACGCAGCTCCTTCGATTTTCAGAGCGCTTGCGATCTTTTTGATTACGATATGAAGATCTTGCCCCGCACTAACCTCAACACTGCGCAAGTCCTCATACATCCGGCCGTGGCCGAGGGAGTGCAGGCGCACGACGAGAACGGTTTTCGTCATGATGTCCGAAACAGGCCGCCCCCCCCCCCACGTGTAGAGAAACTGCCTCTGCCGCGCGACCGCGCGAAGCCTGAGGCAAAGGCAAAATCGCTGAACCTCAGCCTGAAGCCGGCTCGTCAGGTAGTCGTCAGGGAGGCGTCGGGGGTCGGCTCGAGCAGTCTCGCGCGATCCCGAGTGAACCCCGCCCGTAACGACGCGATCCTCGGCGTTCGTTCCCGGCACTCGTGCACAATCCAAGGCTCATTTTACCCCGCGCTGAGCAGCGACAGGAACAGCGCGATCCACGCCGTCAGCGTGACGAGCGACGCGATATACGTCGCGACGAGGACCTTGCCCAGGGGCCGCTCCGCGTCCTGGGCGAAGAGCTGGCAGAAGATCATGCACTGCATCGCCGGCGGCGGCGTGCTCTCGAGCATGAGCACCAGGGTCAGCGCCGCGTCCCCCGGCGGCACGACCGCGGGCGCGAAGAGCCGCAGAGCCACCGTGGCAGCGCAGGACAGGCAGGGTACGACCAGCAGGCGGATGACGACGGCGGCGCCGAGTAAACCCCCGAGCACGGCGACGTCGCCGCCGCGCTCGGACCGGCCAACCTTCGACGCGACGGAGCCGCCGAGGTTGATGATGCCCACGGGCACGGCCGCGCTGGAGACGAGCTGCACGGCGCCGCCGAGCACCGACGCCCGGCCCGGCGGCCCGAGCAGCGCGTCGCGCGCGCCGGGCACGGCGCCAAGCACGCCGCCGAGGATCGCGCCCCAGACCGGCGGCGCGGGCTTCCGGAGCACCGCCGCGACGCACGCCGCGCAGCGCCGCGGGACGCTCGGCGGCGGCGACGGCGGCGCGTCCTTCGCCGGCGCGGGCGCCGGCGCGTCCGTCGCGAGCAGCCTGGGGCACACGGCCCACTGCAGCGGATTCATGACCGAGATGTAGAACGACACGTAGCCCACCGTCGCGGCCAGGCACTCGTCGCCGCCGAGGAACGACCGCGCCGACGACGCGCAGAGCGCGTCGACGAGGGCCAAGGGCAAGCCGCCGGAGTTGGGGAAGGCCGCGGTCATCATGACGACGGCCTCGAGGAGCGCGTCGCCGCCGTCGTCGGCCGCGTCCGTCTCCCCCAACTCCTCGTCGTCCAAATCCGCGGACGTCATGGGCGAGAAGACGGGCCGCAGCGTCGGATCCCGCCGCTCGCGCTCGCCGCGGCACCAGCGCCGGCAGCGGCACGCGCACTTGGCCAGCGCGAGGCCGAGGGCGCAGTGGAGCACGGCGTAGCACGGGAGTATTAACCAGTGCGCGATGCGCGGGCCGGCCCTCGCGACGGCCGCCGACACCTGCCAGAAGAGGAGCGCCGGCAGGAGGCAGTAGGTCGACAGCTCCGCGACCTTGCGCCGCGCCGCCCCGTCGAGGATGGACCGGCGGCTCAGTAGCACGCCGGCGCAGCCCACCATCATGACCCGCGCCACCGACGTCGACGACGCGACGACGACCTTGAGGAGCAGCGCCGTGGCGACCATGTTTCTTGCGAACGCCGCAACTACTCGTTGCGGAGGCAGACCGGAGCTACTCGGCGCGGACGCAGCCCTTATCGATCACCATCGACGATGACAAGGGGCAAGAGCAGTTCAAGAGCTGTGCACGACCAACTCGACCTCGACCCAAGAGAGCGCATGGAGTCTGCCAAAACGCGATTGCGCACGACGCAGAACCTGCCAGACGGCGTCGTCGTGCACGCGCTGAGCTTCCTGAATCATGTCGACCTCTGCGCTGCGGCCACGACGGCGCGCCGGTGGCGCCAGGCGGTCGACACGCGCGCGCTGTGGACGGCCTTGCTAGAGAAGCGATGCCCGGCACTTTTGAGTGCCATGGGCACATGCGGCGCGCCTCGCCAGCTCTTCACGCGGATATCCCGGCCGCTTCAACAGCGCCTCCCGGAGACGCCCTTGAGCGACGTGGTTTTGCTCTTCGAGAGTTCTTACCAGGGCGAGATCACGCTGTCGGTTGCGTGTCCGCTCGATGAACTCATCCTATTTGACACTGCGATGTATCTGATTCCCAACAAGCTTCATGGTGCACCTACGCGCTTCGAGGATACGCGCAACTTTGATTTTAACTGGGTGACCATCACGCTCATCCGAAAGTCTGATGGTGCCATCATCCGCAATCAGGGAGTCGCATTCAGTGGCCACGACACTTGGGAGGCGCACGACATTTCCCCGCAGATACCCGGCCACTCGTTCGCGCGACATTATTTAGCGGAATCACTGCAACCCTCGAAGGAAACCCATGAGTTCTCGATCGAAGTCCAGGCGAAGAATCTGCTGGACGGGAAAAATCGTGATGCCCAATTTGATCGGGGTGATTTGGTTGTCACATTCTGCGCCTCGGTGTGTACCGATTTCTACAGGTTCCCTGGCTGGGACCGTGAGGACGATTATGTGTGGACTGGAAGACTTCAGCGTGAAAGCAACTTGGTCATCACCCCGCGCCTCCTCGCCTCCCTAGATTGGAAAACTTAAGCATCATAGACCGCTCGCGCGGGAGAGGCGCATGGACTGGAGGCTCGCGAGGGTGCCGTACTCGCCGGCGTAGGACGCCTCCATCGCCGCGAGCTTGGCGAGCTTGAGCTGGAGGAGGTCGTCCTCCGCGTCGGGGAGCGGCGCGACGACGTCGGACGCGGGCGACTCCTCCCGGGGCGGCGTGACGCGCGCGGAGCCCCGCGTCGACGGCGCGTCGCAGAAGAGCATGGTCACGCCCGCGGGCCGCGCCGAGAGCGGCGGCGGCGGCGGCGTCACGATCGGCGCCGACGCGGCCGCCGGCGCGGAGTCGAGGCGGGCCGGCTCGGCGGCCTCGGGCGTCGCGGCCGAGGCGGGGCGCGACCGCGACGGCGGCGGCGCGGGCGTCGGCGGCGCGGGCTCGTCGAGCAGCGCGTCGGCGGGCTCGTCGAGCAGCACGTCGGCGGGCTCGTCGAGCGGCATGGCGAAGTCCGCGGGATCAAAGTCCGGGTGGCGCTCCGACGGCGGCGCGGGCGACGGCGGCATCGCGAAGTCCGATGGGTCGAAATCCGGGTGCGCCGTCGACGGCGGCGCCGGCGACGGCGGCATGGCGAAATCCGAGGGGTCGAATTCGTCGTGCTCCGAGGGCGCGACCGGCGACGGGGGCATCGCAAAGTCCGACGGGTCGAAGTCGGGATGGCGCTCCGAGGGCGGCGCCGGCGACGGAGGCAGGGCGAAGTCCATGGGATCAAAGTCCGCCGTGCCCGGGACCTCGAGGATCGGCGCCGGGACGCTGCCGCGCTCGGACCGCGCGGTCTTGGGCCTCGCGTCGATCTCGACGACGGTCTGGCTCTCGCGCACGGAGACGATGCTTTCGCGGATCGAGGCCGAGCTCACGCGGAGGGAGGCCGTGCTTTGACGCGCCGGCTCGACGATCTGCAGCGACTTGGCCGTCGCCGGGCGAAGCGACGCCGCGCTCTCGCGCGCGGGCTCGACGCTTTCGCGTAGCGACTTGGCAGCCGTCGCCGGTCGCGAGCTCATCCGAACCGACGCCGCGCTCTCGCGCGCGGGCTCGGCGATCTGGCGGACCGACTTGGCCGTCGCCGGGCGGCTAAGCGACGCCGTGCTTTCGCGGGCGGGCTCGACGCTCTGGCGGACCGACTTGGCAGCCGTCGCCGGGCGGGCGCTGCGAAGCGATGTCGCGCTCTGGCGGGCTGGCTCGACGCTCTGGCGCACCGACTTGGCAGCCGTCGCCGGTCGCGAGCTCATCCGAAGCGATGTCGCGCTTTCGCGGGCGGGCTCGACGGAGCTCATCCGAAGCGACGGCGCGCTCTCGCGGGCGGGCTCGACGCTTTCGCGTAGCGACCGGGCCGTCGCCGGGCGGCAAAGAGACGCCGCGCTCTCGCGGACGCGGACGGACTCGGCCGTGTCCGGGCGACAGAGCGACGCGCCGCTCTCGCGCACGAGGAAGGACTTGGCCGTCTCCGGCCGGCCGAGCGTCGCGCCGCTCTCGCGGACCGACTCGACGCTCCCGCGGAGCGGCGCGCCGGTCGCGCGCGCCTCGACGCCCCGGGGCGTGGGCGCGCGCGCCATGGCCTGGACCTGGGCCAGGAAGCTCGGGTCGACGCCCGGCGCCGCCACGGGCGGCGCGTCGATGGACGCCGCGGGCGTGTCGTCGGCGAAGAAGTCGTGGAAGGGCGTCGCGCCGCGCGCGAAGGGCGTCGCCGGCCCCGCGTCGGAGTCGCGGAAGGGCGTGCCCAGGGGCTTGGCGAAGGGCGTGCCCGCGCGCTTCGGGGCGACGTTCGCCGCGAAGGAGTCGCGGAGGGGCTCGTAGGAGGTCGGCGGCGGCTCGTCGTCGTCGTCGAGCGCGGCGAGCACGCTCGCGCGGAGCGCGAGCGACTCGACGGACGCCGCCGACGCGCGGACCATGACGTCCGCGCCGCCGCGCGTGCGCTCGACCCACTCCGCGGACTGCATGGATATGCCCGGGACGCTCTGGCGCGAGACGGAAACGCCCGCCGAGACGTCGACGGGGTTTCGGGAGAAGCGCACGGACCGCGACGCCGTCGCGCCGCGCGGCGCCGCGGCGGCGGGCGTGAGCGTCGACGTCGGCGGCCGCACCCTGGGCGTCGCCGCCATGGCCTCGACGAGGTCCACGGACGCGTCCGGCGGCGCCGGCGGCGTCGGCGCGGCCAGCGACGCGGCGAGCGACGCGCCCGTCGGCGCCGACGGAAGGCCGTCGAAGAAGTAGGACGCGTCCGTCGCGGGCGCCTTCGCCGACGGCCGCGACGCCGCGACGGACGCCAAGAGGACGCTCGCGGACTGGTCCGCGAAGGAGCAGTAGGCCGGCGGCGCGCCGCCGTCGTGCGGCGACGCGACGGTGAGGTCGACGTCGCCGTCGTAGGCCGGGGGCGCCTCCTCGTCGCCGTAGTCGCCCGCCGCGTAGTCCGCGTGGCGCGGCTCGTCGTCGTCGGCGCCGCCGACCGTGGACACGCGCAGCGGCGACAGGGGGGCTCCGTCGTCCTCGTCCTCGCCGAGCGGCGCGTCGTCGAAGGCCTCGTCGTCTTCCGGCGCGTCGTCGAAGGCCTCGTCGTCCTCGTCTTCCGGCGCGTCGTCGAAGGCGTCGTCCTCTTCAAACGCCGCCTCGTCCTCCTCTTGCGCGGGCGGCGCGGGCGTCGGCGCGCGCGGCGTCTTGCGCGTCGGCGGCCGCGCGTCCGCGTCGTCGTCGTCGCGCGGCTTGAGGGACGCGACGCGCGGGACGTTCGCGGCCACGGTGACGCCGCGCTTGTCGGGCGTGCGCGACGCGGGCGCGGCCAGCTTCGCGCAGCGGTGGCCGAAGGCGATGTTCACCGTCGGGTTCCGCGGCGGCGCCTTCTCGGACCGGGGGATCGCGGTGCCGAAGACGCCGAGCGGGCTCGGGGGCTCCGGCGGCGCGCCGGGCGCCTCGTCCGGCGGGAAGACCGCTTCTTCGTACCCCACGGCCGCGGGGAGGGCGAGGCTCGTTGGTACGGGCGACTCGGCGTCCCGCAGCGTGAAGACGGCCCGCAGGCGGCAGGACGGGCCCACGGCGACGCCGTCGAGCGCGTGTAGCGCGACGGCTTCGCCGAACGCGACTTTCGCGAGCCCCGCGACGTCGACGCGCCAGTGGAGCCACTTGCCCCGCTTGCCCTCGAAGGCGCCGCCGAGGGGCAGCTGGGCGTGGAGCGGCGTGCGGCTCGCCGCGGCGAAGGCCGACGAGAGCAGCACGCGGCGCCGGTTCCGCTTCTCGTCGCTGACGACGAGCTCGACGGCGAAGGGCCGCGCGTCGCTCGGCGGCAGCTCGAGCTGGAGCACGAGGTAGCGGTGGAGCAGGCCCAACGAGTGGGCGCCGCGGGACGACCGCGGCGCGCCGTCGCCGAGGGCCAGGCGCGTCGCCGCGCCGCCGTCGATGCTGTAGACGTAGCCCCGCGTGCCGCTGTCGTAGAGCCGCTTCACGCCGCCGCTCGCCTTGGCCTTCCAGCGCTTCAGCGGGTCCTTGCCCGACGCGCCGAGCAGCTCGCAGGACGCGCCGCCCTGGTAGAGCATCATGCTGGATGGTTCGAACGGTGAACCGACGGGCGGGCAGCTCTCCGAGAGGGGCTGCCGCGCCGACGGTGCCGCGAGCGGCACCTTGCCGAGGCGGAGCACCGGATATCGACGGCCTCGACGCATGTTTCACAACGAGATTGGTTTTTCGGCTATGCCGTTCGCGACAGTCCGCGACCGCTGAGCCGCGGGGTCGTCCTTTGCTCGTGCCGCACGCAGATCTGAAAAGAAAGAACATGAAGCGCACGCTCGACGTGCCCGGCGGGAACGACGCGCGCCGCAAGTCGAAGGACATCCTCCCCTTCGACCAGTCCCGCGCCGAGGGCCACGCGATCCTCGTGGGCGCCTGCGCGCGCGTCCTCGAGGCGCGGGGCGGCGCCCTGCCCGTGCGCGGGCTCATGCACGAGCTCAACGGCGCGGTCCCCGCGGGCGCGTTCTCCAAGCGAGGCGAGCCGCGGTCCGCGGCGAGCTACGTCAAGCAGGCCTGCGGCGGCTGCAAGGCCTGGGTCGAGGCCCTCCCGGCGGACGCGTTCACCATCGCGGGCGACTGGGACCGCGCCGACGTGACCCTCGCGCTCGCGGCCGCGGCGCCGCCGCCGCCGCCGGAGCCGGCCGCGCCGCCGGTCGCGGGGACGACGCGGACGGGCCGCTGCGCGTTCTGGGACCTGCGCAACGGCTGGGGCAAGGTCGCCGTCGACGGGGCGGCCGGCGCGCGCGTCTTCGTCCACTGGCGCGACCTGCGCGACCGGTCGTCGCTGCCGCGCGGCGGCCGGGTCCGCTTCGCCGTCGCCGAGTCGGACAAGGGCTTCGCGGGCGTCGACGTCGTCCTCCTCGAGACGACGGCCGCCGACGTCGACGCGCTCCTCGCGGCGGGCTGCCTCGCGCCGCGCGGCCTCGCGGCCATGGCCATCGACGATCTCGGCGACGACGGCGCCCGGGGCGCGTCCGCGGCGGGCGCCGCGGACGACGGCGGCGACGACGACGCGGAGATGACGGCGACGACGCCCGACGCGTCCTTCGTCTTCGCGCCGCCGACCTTCGACCACGTCGCCGCGGATGCCGCCGTCGTCGTCCCCGAGGACGACTCCGGCGTCGTGCCCGTCGACCCCGGCGAGGACGACGTCGACGACCTGCCCCCCGAGCCGCCCGCGCGGCCCGTGACGCCGTAACGACCTTGTACAGGAACGCCCACCCTAGCGCCGCCGCCCCGCGCTCTCGAGGATCGCCGGGAGCTCGACGAGCACCGCGCGCTCGAGCCTGCCCCGGAGGCCCGCGGCCTCGCCGCCGCGCGTCGCGCGCGCGTAGGCCGCGCCGTCGAGGTCGAGGAAGGCGCGGCAGCAGTCGCCGAGCGGCGGCAGGTCGCCCGCGCCGAGGGCCGCGTCCCGCGCGGCGGCCTCGAGCGCCGAACGGACGTCGGCCTCGACGGCCGTTTCCGTCGGCCTCGGGAGCGCGCGGGACCACCAGCTCCGCGTCCAGTGGGGCGCCGCCGCGAGGGCCTCCAACGCCACGGCGCTCGCCCGCGCCGCCGTGGCCCGGGCGACGAGCGCCTCGACGGCCCGGAGCGCGCGCGCGGACGGCAGGCCCGCGAGCGCGCGGAGGAGCCGCCGCTCGTCGCGCCGGAGATCCCGCAGCATCGCCGCGCCGTCGTCGCGCGCGCGCAGCGCGTCGACGACGGCGTCCTCCAGGGGCCCGACGACGTAAAAGTCCGGCCGCGACGCCCAGCTCCCCGCCGCGCGGCGGAGGAAGACGCCCGCGGCCCGCATGACGCCGCGCCACCCCGCCGCCGCCGCGACGCCGCCGGCGATGAACACGACGGGCCGCTGCGTCGCCGGCGGCGCGCCCGCGTCCGCCAGATCCACGACGACGAAGGCCGCGTCCGCGCGCTCCGCGAGGAGCCCGGACGCGTCGGACGTCACGCCGAGCCGGAGCCGCCGGAGCGGCGCGCGGCAGGACCGGCGCGCGCGCGTGGTTTGATCAAAACCGTCGCCCTCGCCCCACTCGTAGACGACGTCGCCGTCGACGGCGGCGTCCGCCGGCGGGCCGAGGACGCGCGCCGCGAGCCGCGGCGCCGCGCGGCCGCAGAACACCGCGAGCGGCGACAGCTGCGCGGACCGCACGGCGCGCTGCGCCGCGTCGCGCCTCCGCTCCGAGTCCGCGCAGAGCGCCGGCGCGTGGGCGCGCACGTGGCGCTCCAGCGCCTCGATGGACGTCGCGGACACGCGCCGCGACGCCTCGAGCCAGAGCGCCGCGTTCGACGCGAACGCCGCGCCCGGCGGCAGCGGCGCGTCCGCGACGCCGCAGCGGCCCTCGAAGAAGGACGTCGCCGCGACGCCGTGGGCCGCCTCGAGGAGGGTCCTTCGCGCGTCGCCGCCCGCGGCGAGGCCGGCGAACGCGGCCGCGGCGCCCGCCGTGACGGCGACGACGTCCTCCGGGCGCCGCCGCGCCGCCTCGCCGAGCGCGGCGAGCGCCAGCGACAGGACGGCGGCCTTCCCGTTGCCCGGCGCGCAGAGCGCCAGGTCCAACGCCAGCAGCTTGGCGCCGCGCGGCGAGCTCTTGTGGCCGTTGTGGCCGAAGAGCGTCAAAGCCCACTGCGACAGCAGCAGGTCGAGCGTGCCGTCGAGCGCCGCGGCGAGGTCCGCGGCGGCCCTGAAGGGCCGGCGCGCCGCGTCGTTCGTCGCCCAGCCGCCGCAGCGCGCGGCGACGTCCGCGACGTCGCGCGACACGAGGCCCAGGTCGCCGGCCCACCACCCGGCGCACCGGTCCTCGACCTATGTGGAAATCAAATCTTCAACCCGACTTCAATGTGCGCGTAATCGAACGATTTGGACCAGACTCTTTCGCTGTGCTTCGAGAACTCGACGAGAGCAATCGATCCGTCCAAAAATCAGCCGAATCGACTTCGATTTGATTGAGATAGAGAGTTCTGAAGTTTGGTGGGGACCCCCCAAACCAGTGGTTGATTTCCACACAGTCCTCGACGAGCGCGAGCAGCAGCCAGTAGGCCAGCGCCTCGTCGTCGGCCGACGGCGCCGCGCCGGCGCCGACGCCGTCGAGGAGCGTCGCGCAGACGACGTTGAGGCCCTGGCAGTAGCCCGTCGCCGGCGCGGCCGCCGCGACCGCGAGCAGCACGCGCCGGACGACGCGCCGCGCGCGCCCGGACCGCGCGCCGCCGCGGCCGCAGTCGAGGGCGACGTCCGCGGCGACGCTCGCCGGCACGGCGGCCTCCAGGTCGCCCAGGGGCGCCAGGAGCCGCGCGGGCGGCGCGAGCGACCCGTCGCGCCGCGCGCAGCCGGCGCGCGCCGCGCGCGCGGCCGCGCCGCTGAGCGCCGCCCACTCGCGCCGCCGGCGTCGTCGCGGCACGCCGCGCCAGACGAGGGCCTCGGCGCAGAGCTCCTGGTGCTCCGCGACGAGCGTCGTCTTCCGCGCCCAGGCCGCGTCGTCGTCGCCGTCGGACGCGTCGCCGCCGCCGTCGGACGCGTCCGACGCGCTCTCGCTGTCCGACGGCTCGCGCTCCTCCTGCGTCGACGGCGCCGTCGGCGCCGCCGGCGCGTCGACGGCGAGGCAGCGCGGCCGCGGCGGCAGCTTCGCCGGCGCCGCGCCGCCGCAGAGGCGGCACCGGCAGGCCTCGGCCTTGGCCTGCCAGGCCTCGGCGCGCGCGGCGCTCAGCGTCTCGAGGCCGCGCTGCTCCGCGAGGCGGTAGAGCTCGTCCTCTTCCGCGAAGCTCGCGGTCGTGCCGCTGTCGTCCATCTTTGATTTTGTCAGACCATCCCCTTTTGCCACTAATTCTCCATCTTGAAGTGATGTTTACCTGCCCGCGAGCTCGGACCGTCCCGGCGGAACTCAGTGGCGGAACTTCCGGCGGACTCGAGCTCAGGGGCAGACTACCTAGCACAAAACAATCCTATTGCGTAAAGATGGGCAGGAGGCTGTCGATGCGCCGCCGGCACGTCGGGCAGCCGATGCTCGCGCGCTGGCACCGCTTCGCGCACTTCGTGCACATGAGGTGGCCGCAGGGCACGCACGCCGCGTCTTTTGGCCGATCCATGCACACGTCGCAGAGGCGGATGGCCTCGAGTTCCGAGGTCAACGACCGCGCGCGGCTCTCGGCCGCCGAGCTCTTCGACGCTTCGGCCGCGGCGCGCGCGTCCGCCGACGCCGCGCGCTCGCGCTCCGCCTCCGCCTTCTGTCGCAAGCGCTCGGCGTCCGTCTCGTCGTGTTTGAGCAACGCGGCGTCGAGGGCCGCGGCCTCGTCCTTTTCCAGGAAGCGGAAGGGCGCGCCCTCGCCCCCCGGCCAGAGCGCGAGCAGGAGCGTCTCCGAACGGCCGCTCTCGAGGCGCACCGTCGCGCGCGCGCTCCGCGCGCGCTTGCCGCGGAACGATTCCGTCGGCGAGAAGAGGCGCTCCGCCGCATTCTCGAGGGCGCGGTCGACGGCGCGGGCGGTCGTGACGAGCGTCGAGGGCTGCTCCACGGCCTCGACGATCGCGCGCGGACTTGCTTGCCGATCTGCAGCCGTTCTCCGGCGAGCGCGTCCTCGGGCCGCGCCTCCTCCGCGACCCGCAGCATGTGCTCCGCGAAGATCTCGTCGCGCCCCGGGCAGGCCAGCTCGTTGTGGGCCTCGACGCCCGCGATGGTCCGGGGCTCCACCTCGCGCCGGCAGGTCCGGCAGACGATGCGTTCGCGCACCTCCGCGGCGTCGCTGGCGTCGTCGAGGCTGATCTCGACGCAGGCGTCGTCCGGCCAGAGGAGCTCCCTCCAGCGGCTCATGGTCCCCTTCCTAGGGCTGCTGCATCATCCCCTTCCTCGGACCATCATGAGAAGGATAAGTCCTCTCCGGGTAAACTTTAGAAGGTGAAGTTGCGCTACAAACTTTTGCGCTCGCGACGTGTGCGCCGGACGACGCGATCGCACTGAGCCGCGGTGAAATAATTAGAGGCGCAGTCACACTTCAAAGCAACCGAGGTGCGCCCACCCTGCCTGGACGCCCTCCCGCGCTCCCGCGCGACGCGCCTCGGGGCCGCGGGAGCAACACAGCCATGCGACGCCGCGCGCGCGCACCGAATCGCCCGGCTGTTCGGCGACAACGTCACCGCTGCCCGACCGCCCGCCCCCGCCGCCCCGCGCGACGACGACCCGCCACCCGCGTAGGCACCATGGGCTACGACCTGAAGATCTGCTGCATGGGCGCGGGCTACGTCGGCGGGCCGACGATGGCGGTCATCGCGAAGAAGTGCCCGAACGTGCTCGTGACCGTCGTCGACCTGAGCCAGAAGCAGATCGACGCGTGGAACTCGAGCGCGCTCCCCATCTACGAGCCGGGCCTCGAGGAGGTCGTGGCCGTGGGCCTGAAGCGGGGCAACCTCGTCTTCTCCACGGACATCGAGGGCACGATCGCCGCGGCGGACATCGTCTTCATCTCCGTGAACACGCCGACCAAGACCGCGGGCATCGGCGCGGGCCGCGCGGCGAACGTGAAGAACTGCGAGCTCTGCGCGCGCACCATCGCCAAGGTCTCGACGTCGGACAAGATCGTCGTCGAGAAGTCCACGGTGCCCGTGCGCACGTCCGACGCGGTCCGCGCGGTGCTCGAGCACGGCGCCAAGCCCGGCGTCAAGTTCCAGGTCCTGTCGAACCCCGAGTTCCTCGCCGAGGGCACGGCCGTGCCCGACCTCGAGGAGCCGAGCCGCGTCCTCCTCGGCGGCATGCAGACGCCCGAGGGCCTCGCGGCCGTCAAGGTCGTCGCGGACGTCTACGCGCAGTGGGTGCCGCGCGAGAAGATCCTCACGACGAACCTCTGGTCGTCGGAGCTCTCGAAGCTCGTGGCCAACGCCATGCTCGCCCAGCGCGTCTCCTCCGTGAACTCCATCTCCGCGCTCTGCGAGGCGACGGGCGCGAACATCGGCGAGATCTCGCGCGCGTGCGGCACGGACCCGCGCATCGGCCCCAAGTTCCTCCAGGCCTCCGTGGGCTTCGGGGGCTCCTGCTTCCAGAAGGACATCCTGAATTTGGTGTATTTGTGCGAGACCTACGGCCTCCGCGAGTGCGCGGAGTACTGGAACTGGGTCGTGAAGATGAACGAGTACCAGAAGAGCCGCTTCAGCCTCAACATCGTCAAGTCCATGTTCAACACGGTCACGGGCAAGAAGATCGCCCTCTTCGGCTTCGCCTTCAAGAAGGACACGGGCGACACGCGCGAGACCGCCGCGGCGTTCGTCGCGCGGGACCTCGTCGACGAGCAGGCGCGCGTCCACGTCTACGACCCCCAGGTGAGCCGCGAGACCATGATGACCGAGTTCAAGTACACGCTGAACCTCACGGAGGCGACGAAGCCCGGCTTCTCCGACCTCATCGTCACGTCGCCGGACCCCTACGCCGCGGCCGAGGGCGCGCACGCGATCGCCGTCGTCACGGAATGGGACGAGTTCAAGACGCTCGACTACCAGAAGATCTACGACTCCATGGCCAAGCCCGCCTTCCTCTTCGACGGCCGGAACATCATCGACGCCGACAAGTGCCGCGCCATCGGCTTCCAGGTCTACTCCATCGGCAAGCCCGTCGGCATGAACTAGGCGCGCGACCGAAAGCCCGGCGGCCGCCCGGGGCGCAGCACGGCCGCCACCCGCCCCCGCATCCCCCTAAACGACGCTCAAACGACGCGACCGCGATTAGCGAAGCGGGGGCGACCTAGCCCGGCGCCTTCCGCGGAGAAGACTGGTTCGATCCCGCGTCCGACCGCCGGGGCGACCCGAGCGCGGGCTCGTCGGCCTCGGCGGCCGCCGTCGCCTTGGCGCGCATGGCCTTGGTCCGCCAGACGTACATGCCCGTGCGCTCCTCCCAGGACGCCTGGCCCTCGAGGTCGTCGCGCGCGTTCGTCAGCTCGCCGACGTCGAGGAGCTCGTTGCGCAGCTTCTCGGCGCGGCACTTCTGCTCGTAGGTCAGGTGCCGCGCCGCGGGCTTGTGGGCCCGGATCTCCTCCTTGCGCCGCCGGTCGTCGATGCACGCGCCGGGGATGAGGCCCTCCATCTTGTAGTAGCCCGGCGAGCACGCGACGACCGCGTAGGACTTGTCGCCCGAGGCGCGCACGGCGATGCCCGAGCGCCGCGCCAGCAGGGAGTCGCACTTCTTCTTGATGCCGCACTCGATCTCCAGCGTCCGCTCCGTCGACACGCGGTGCTGCGCGAGCTCGCCGTCGTGGTACACGGGGCCCTTGCAGCTCCAGGCCAGCTGCTCGGGCACGTCGTAGCCGCTCCGGTTCTGGGCGCCGCGGTTGTGGAGCCGCTCCGGGTGCTTGAGCTCGCTCAGGCACTTGAGCGGCGCGATGAAGCGCTTGCCGCCCGTCTCCGTCTCGCTGCTCTCGCGCGGCCGCAGCACGCGCCGCATCGGGCGGAAGACGTCCTCGACGCCGTCGGGCCGCCCGTAGAGCTTCCGCCGCCCCTGCGGCAGCCGGTCGACGAGCATGGAACTCGGCAGCGCCATGGCAGCGCCGGGCTCGCACCCACCCACGCAGAGCCTCTCGCAAGCGCGCTGATGGCTCGTAACGAAAGGATACTTGCACCGAAAGCGCAGACTTGCGGGCAGCGACGATGGGCAGCGCCGTGGAACCCACCTAGCGAACCATGCGCGTCCTCGCCTGCGTCGCCCTCGCCATGAGCGCCCGCGTCGAGCTCGAGTTCGACGGCGCGCCGACGGTCGCGGTCGTCGACGAGGCCATGGACCTGGAGCGGCTCGCCGGCGACGTCGTGGCGTCGCGCGACGGCTGGATGGGCGTGGGCTGCGAGGACGACGACCGCGCCTGCTTCCGCGCGGTGCTCGCGGGCGTCTTCCGCGAGGCGCTCGCCGAGGCGCTGCCCGCCGAGGCCGGCGCCTGCGGCTTCGAGCGCGCCGGCCCGCCGCCGTTCGCGCCGCGCGCGCCGGAGCTCGTCGCGCGCGCGGAGCGCGGCGCCGCGCCGGGCGAGGCCGCGCGCGTCGTCGTCGCCGGCGTCGCCGACGCGGAGGACGCGGGCCTCGCGGCGGCCTGGGCCGCGTCCGTCGCGCGCCGGGGAGCGACGCCGCTCGTCGTCGCCGCGGCCGACGGCTCGCTCGGCGCCGCGCCCTGGGCGGCGGTGCACGCCTCCGGCGCCCGCGGCGTCGCCCGGGCCCTCGTCGCCGCGGGCGTCGACGTCGTCGTCGGGTCGCCGCGCGCGCCCCTGCTCGCGGACCCGTTCGCGAGCGAGCTCGCGAAGGACGGCTGCGCCGTGGCCTGGGACGCGGCCGCGGGCGCCGCGTCGCCGACGTTCCTGCGCGGCGGCAGCGCCTTCGCGCTCACCTTCGCCGCGGCCTGGGACGCGGCGGCGCCGACCTGCGGCGCGGCCGCCGCGCGCGACTACGCGGCGGCCGAGGCCGCGGCGCTCCACGGATCGGCCGCGCCCGCGTGCCGCCCGGAGCGCCTCGTCGCGTCGCGGCGCGTCCTCTTGGACCGCGGCGGCCTCGGCGGCGCCGCGGGGTTCGTCGCCGTGGAGGTCACGGGGGACGACGCCGCGACGCGGCTCGCGCGCGCGCGCGACGCCGCGGCGTTCGGCGGCGACGCGCCGCGGCCCCGCGTCGACGGGCGGTCCGGGCCCTGGCTCCTGTACCTCCTCGAGGGGCCGGGCCAGCGGCGCTGGGAGCGCGCCTGGCTCGAGGCGCTCCTCGGCGGCGCGCGATCGGCCGTCGCCGTCGTCGCGCGCGCGCCGGCGGACCCCGTCGCGGCGCTCTGGGAGGCGCTGGCGCGGCCCGAGCGCGTGATCGTCCTCGTCAACTGCCACGACGTGGCCGTCCTCGAGAGCCTGGCCACGGGCGCGTCCGCGTTCTACGCCGCGTGCGCGCGGAAGCACGTCGGCCTCGTCGTCGTCGACGAGGGCCACGGCGGCTGGTTCCACCTGAACCCGCAGCTCGTGGACCACGCCAAGTTCGCGCTCATGCTGGGCTTCGGCCGCTTCGTCGACCCCGACGCCGTGCCGGGCCTGCGGCGGCGGCCCCGCGTGCTGCAGGCGCCGCTCGGCCCCGCGGCCGCGGACGCGCTCCGCGAGGCGCGGAAGGTGCCCATCCTCGAGCGGCGCTTCGGCTGGGGCTACCTCGGGCGGCTCCAGGGCCCGGCGCGGGCCCACATGCTCGCGGCCTGGCTCGCGGCGTCGGACGCGCGCGCCGCGGCCGGCGGCGACGCCTCGGGCTACGTGCTCCACGTGACCGCGGGCGTCGACGAGCAACGCGCGCGCGCCTGGCGCCGGGGCATGGCCTGGGACGTGCCGACGAACGCGAGCTCCTGGCGCCGGGGCCTCGAGCGGGCCCTGCCGCCGGGCCGCTACCGCGCGGCGCTCGGCTCCGTCGTCTTCGCGCCGTCGCCGCCCGCGTGGAAATCTTCAAGCTGACTTCCATGTGTGCGTCGTCGAAAGGGTCGACACGCGTTCTTCGGCCGCGCTTCGAGAACTCGACGAGAGCGATCGATTCGTCCAAAGATCAGCCGAATCGATGTGGCCGAGCGAGAGCATGTCAAAGTTTGGTCGGGGCGTCCCGAACCGGCGGTCGATTTGCAGGTCGCCGCCGGGCAACGTGCACCCGGAGTGCTACCGCACCTACGAGGCCCTCGAGGCCGGCGCCATCCCCGTCGTGTCGTCGCACTACTACGCCGTCTGGTTCGGCGCGCCCTTCCCCGTCGTCGACGCGGACTGGTCCGCCGCGTCGCTCGCCAAAGTCTTCGCGCTCCTCGACCGGCCCGACGAGCTCCGCGCGCTCGCGGACGCGTGCGCGGCCTGGTGGGCCGCGGCGAAGGCCGACTTCCCGCGCCGGGCCGCCGCGCTCCTCGACGCCGTCGACGGGGTCGCCGCCGAGGAGGCGGCGGACGACGACGGCGACGCGCCGTGCGACGGGCGCCGGCGGCTCTACTTCGCCATCAACTACAACGGCTTCGACTACGAGACCACGTTCCCGGCCGTCGCCGACGACGCCGCGCTCCGGCGCGAGGCATTGGCGCTGATGGCGCGCCTCGACCTGCGCTTCGGCCAGGGCTGCGACGACGCCGAGTGCGTCGCGGACGAGATCGTCGCCGACATGCGGCGCCGCGTCGACGAGGCCTGCGGGGCGCCGGCGCCGGCGCCGGCGCCCGCGCGGGACTGGGTCTTCAACGTCCTCGACGTCGCCGACGGCGGGCCCGCGGCGTCCGGCGCGCCCGCGCGCGTCGCGGCGCCGCCGGGCGGCGGCGGCGACGTCGTCGCAGCGCTCGCGCGCGGCGGCGCCGCGCCCGTGAGCCACTTCCCCTTCGAGGCCTCCGCGGGGACGCCGCCGCCGCGGCGGGGCGGCCCCGTGCTCGTCGTCGTCCGGAACCCCTTCGAGTCCTACTGCGCGTGGCGCGGCCGCGCGGGCCTGTCGCTGCTCCAGTACGCGCACCGCTGGGTCGCGCACCACGAGTACTGGGCCGCGCGCGCGGACCTGCCCCGGGTCCGCGTGTCCTACGAGAACCTGCTCGCGGGCGACCTCACACCCGCGGCGGCGGCCGCGCTCGTCGACGGCGCGGGCGCGCGGGCCCGGGCCCTCGCCGCGGCGGAAGACGCCGACGACGCGTGCGGCGCGCGCTTCGACCGCGGCGACCTCGCGGCCATCCACCGCGACCTCGGGCCGAGCCTCGCGGCCCTCGGCTTCGAGATCGCCGCGGCGCCGCCGGGCTTCCGGGCGCCCGGCGGCTAAGTGCGTTCGTTGAAGGGAAAGGTGCCGTGTTCAAGGTTTTTCGACTCGAGCCGGCGCCAGGCACCTGTGCAGGGAAGCGCGGTCGAGTCGGAAACCGGGGACTTGCTCGCGTCGGACGACCAGGTCTGCGGAGCATTCGACGAGGGAGATGGCGCCCGCTATCGATGGCGTCGGCAAGGTAGGGAAATGGGGCGTGGACCCGAACAAGCAGGTCTACCTGGGCCACAAGCTGAGCCTCGTCAAGGACCCGGCGAAGATGCCGCGCAAGCACATGCCCGACGACTGGGAGGAGGCCACGTCGCGCATCGGCAAGAAGTTCCGCGTCATCGGCAAGAACGGCGGCACGGTGCGCGCGGGCATCGAGCTCGACAGCGAGAAGCTCGGCATGCTGGACCTGGACGACATCGTCGAGGTCATCGACAGCGCCAAGGACGGCGAGCGCGTCCGCATCGAGGACCCGCGCGGCCGCCGCGCCCGCGACGCGCGGACGAAGCCGCCCCGTCCGGAGCCTCGGGACCGCGCGCAGGTACGAGGGCTGGATCTCGTCGAAGATCCTGCTCCCCCACGACGTCGAGGGCACGGCCGAGGGCTTCAAGAAGGCGCCCATCGAGCTCAACGAGACGTTCGAGGAGATCTGGGCCAAGGGCGTCGACCCGGACGACTACAAGAGCCCCTACCTCTACAACCCGGAGGATCCGCACAACAAGCTCAAGAAGGAGCAGCAGGACGCGCTCGACGCCGTCAAGTCGAACTACGACCGGAACAAGCCCGTCCCCCTGCGCATCGGCTAGGGGGCGCCCTAAGCGCGCTCGTCGGGCGCCGCGCGGGCGTGGGCGCCGCGAGGGAGCCCCGAACGGAGGCTCGGGCGCGCGTCGTCTCGACGGTCTCCGTCTATCTCGCGACGCTATCCGTACCGGAGACGGCGACGCGCGCCCGCGCCGCGGCGACCCCGGCCGGCGACCGGCCGCCACTCGATCATCAGCACGACCTCGACGGCTCGACTGGTGCCAGCGGCGTCGCAAGCGTCGGAGAACGACCGTTCCTCCGGTGTCCGCGGCGGCAGCGAGCGGCCGCAGCGTGCCGGACGCGTCCGCCCGGAGCGACGGCTGCCTGAGATCCGCGCTCTCGCGCTCACCGACGCCCGACGCGCAGAGAAAGCGACGATGGCGGAGGTGCTCGTCGCGCGCGAGCTCGACGACGCCCACGACGGGTCCCTCACGCAGAGCGGCGGGTCGCTGCAGACGCTGGACGACGCCGCGCTCGCGCTCGAGCCGCTGGACGAGCCGCCGCTCGACGACGACGAGCCGCTGGACGAGCCCGAGCCGTGGGGCTACGACTACGAGGACGAGGCGCCGCTCGACGGCGACGACGGCGAGGGCCTGGGCCCGAACCCCTGGCGCGACGAGATCGTGCGCACGATCTTCGGCGACGTCGGCGCCATCCGCCGCGACTTCTCCTGCGCGATCGAGCGGAAGATCCTGCTCCACGGGAGGCTCTACGTCACGGAGCGGTTCATCTGCTTCTACAGCAACCTCTTCGGCTTCGAGAAGAAGATCAAGATCCCCTACAGCCACATCACGTGCATCACCAAGGAGTACACGGCCGTCTTCATCCCCAACGCCATCGCGGTCATCACCGCGCGCAAGGAGTACGTCTTCCGGAGCTTCTGGGACCGCGACGACTGCTTCGACCTGCTCAAGTCGTTCCACGAGTCCTTCCGGGGCCTCGCCGCGAGCGCCGGCGACGGCCTCGAGAGCGAGTCCGCGGACCGCGGCGAGAAGCCCGACGGCGACATGGAGGACCTGGGCGGCGCGATGCAGGACACGGGGCCCGAGGACCCGGCGTCGCCGACCGACGCGGGCGAGGTCGCGTTCGACAGAGTCGAGGACGCGCCGCCCCTGCGGCCCATGCGCAAGAAGCCGAGCCGCGCGTCGCCGACGCGGGGCGGCGACGCGCCGCCGCGGAACCCGAGCCGCGGGTCCGTCGCGGCCGTCGACGGCGACGTGCTCGTGCTCGAGCGCGCGGCGACGCCGCCGCCGCCGCCGGGCGCCGCGAGGCCCGTGCGGCCGTCGCGGTCCGACGACCGCCTGGTGGATACGCCGCAGCACGAGTCCGCCGAGGCCGCGCGCTTCGCGGAGCACGTCGCGTCGACGAAGCTCGCGACCGTGCTCCGCGAGTGCGTCCTCGACGTCGACGTCGAGGGCTTCTTCGAGCACTTCCTCAGCGACGCGGCGACTTTCCCCCTGGCGCGGTTCCACGAGACGGAGGGCGACCTCGACATCTCGACGACGCCCTGGGTCTCGGCCGCGCGCGGCGAGCACGACCGCGAGCTCCGGTTCCGGCGCCTCATCACGTCGCCCATCGGCCCGCCGTCGACGCGGACCACGAAGGTCCAGCGCGTCAAGGCCTTCGGGAAGAACGGCCTCGTCATGCACACGGTCATGTCCATGGAGGACATCCCGTATCGCGACTGCTTCACGATCCACGACCGCTGGGTCGTGCGGCCCGCGGACGGCGACCCGGGTACGACGCGCGTGACCTTCGAGTTCGAGGTCAAGTGGACCAAGTCGACGATCTGGAAGCGCCGCATCGAGTCGTCGTCCAAGGGCGACCTCCAGGCCTACTACGACTCCTACGCGTCCATGGCCGCGGGCTACCTCAAGAGCGCCAAGGCCGCGGCGGACGAGGCCGCCGCCGCCGCGCCCGCCGCCGCGGGCGCCGCGCCGCCGCCGCCCGAGCCCGCGGCGCCCGAGGCCGCCAAGCCCGCGGCGCCCGCGGCCGCGCCGCCGCCGGCGCCGCCGGCGCGCGACTGGCTCCCCTGGGCCGTCTGCCTCGCGCTCCTCCTCCTCTACCTGTCCCAGCGCGCCGCGAACGGCCGCGTCCTCGCGGAGCTCCGCGCGCTCCAGGCCGACGTCGCGCTGCTCAAGGCGGCCTAGGGGCCGCGGCGGTAACACGGCACGCGACCTTTTACTCGGCGGCGGGCTCCCGGGGCGCGCGGCGGCCGCTGGGGACGACCTTCTTCGACGCGGCGTCGGCGAGGCCCTTCTCGCGCTTCTTCCACTCGCGCTGGCTCTTGGCCTTCTTCTTCTCGCGCATCTTCAGCGCCTTCTTGAGCTTCGTCGTGTCCACGGGCGCCTTGGCGCCGGACGCGACGCGGAGCGCGTCCGCCCACTGGAGCTTCTCCGCGCGCGCGTCGTCGCCGGACGCCTTCAGCGCCGCGAGCTGGGCCTTGTCCTTCTCCGCGCGGGCGATGAGCGTCTTGAGCTTCTTCGTCTTCGACCCCGGCGCGCCGACCTTGCCCGCGGGCGCCGCGGCCGCCGGCGGCGGCGCGCGCAGCGACGCGAAGCGCAGGTCCGGCTTCGGCTCCGGCGCCGGCGCGGCCGCCGCCGCCGCGCCGTCGCCGCGCTTCCGCTTCTCGCCCGCGGGCTTGCGCGCGTCGTCCCGGCGCGCCTGCTCCTCGGCCTTGCGCGCCTTCTCCTCGGCCTTGAGCTGCTTCTTCGTCTTCTTCTTCCGCTTGGGCTCGCCGCCGCGGCCGCCCGACAGGCCCTCGAGCCGCTCCCGGAGCCGCGACCGCAGCACGTTCAGGTCCTCGCTCTGCGTCTTCAGCGCCGGCGTCGCGCCGACGGCGCCGCCGTCGTCGTCGCCGTCGTCGGACGCGGCGCCGCCGTCGTCCGACGCGTCGCCGCCGCCGCCGTCGCCGTCGACGTCGTACCTGGCGCGCCGCGCGCGCTTGCTCGCCTCCTTGCGCTGGAGCAGCGCCTCCTTGCGCTCCTTCTCCGGCGCCTTGCCGCCGTGGTTCTTGTAGAACTTGCTGTTGCCCTCCTCGGCGTCCTCCGGCGGATTTAAGAGGTCCGGCGGCAGCTTCGCGAGGAGGTTCGAGAAGTGCGCGTCGTCGGTGGCGATGAGGTCCATAACGTTTTTTTGGATGGACGTGCGAATTGCGAGGCGCGTTTGGTGCGTGGCGGTGCTGTCGGAAGGCGTGCGGCGGGCCGCGCTTCGTGCTTCGGGCGCCGCTCCTCTATAGCTCGATCGCCAGGACACTTACCAATCGTCGGCCGGAACGCAACATTAACTTATTGAACCTAGAAGTTTACTTTCGAAAAGTGGTTGGACGTCGTCAATGATGGTCGCACGATCTCTGATGTTGGGTTTGGCATGTTCCAGGCCAGGGGGAGAGAAACTGAGCACACTTTGCAGTGGGAATTCGGGGTCGGGCATCCCAAAACTTCAGCCCGCTCGTCTCGGGAACACGCAGAAGCTGAGATCATTTTTCCCTCTCTCTCCCGCGCGCGCGAGGCGGTCCCCGCGGCGAGGTTCTGGGTGCTCGAACATGCTATGCCAAGCGAACCCCGCTCTCGTCGCCCCGATTCCGGCCGGCAGCCGCGCGGGCATAGCATGTTCGCCCCCCCCGAACCCCGGACGCAGCCCCGCGCCGCCGGCCAACCACATCGTCTCGAGCAAAAGACGTTTCAGCCGAGCGATACATTTCACTGCAACTTGGTCCGTCGATTGGTAAGTGCAGGAGCTTTTTGTGTGTTGAGGTCACCTTGCTGTTAACGACGCGTGCGCGGTATGCGGCTACATCGTATAGAGGTCCACGTCCCTCCCCGGTATGCGACTACATCGTATAGAGGTCGACGTCCCGCCCCGACGCCCACGATTCGCCGGACGCGGACTCCCACGCCGAGGACGCGGTCGCGTCGTCGTCGGCGAGAGCGTCGACCGCGGCGGCCGCCGCCTCGAGCGTCGACGCGTCCGGCGGCGGCGGCGCGGCGCCGGGCGCGTCGAAGACGCCCTCCTCGTCCGGCGGCGGCGGCGCGGCGCCGGGCGCATCGAAGACGCCCTCCTCCTCGCTCGTGGAGTCGTCGACGCTCTCGTCCGGGCGCGCGCCCATGCGCTCGAGGAGGTCGTCGGGCAGCGGCGTGTGCGCGCCCGCGTCGCGGGGCGACGCCTCGCGCTCGGGCCGCCCGTCGCGGGGCGTGTAGAAGGGCGTCGCGCCCGCGACCGGCTCCGCGGCCGCGGCGCGCGGTCCCGGGCTCGCGGGCCCGTCGCCGTCCGGGAAGGCGAACGCGAGGAACTTGCGCTCGACGGTCTCGGAGCGCCGCTCCTCCGGGCTCCGCGGTTCGCCGTCGCCCGACCAGCGCCGTTTGAGGAACGCCACGGAGCGCGTGTCCGGCGCCGCGTCGATCTCGACGGACTCGAAGTGGCCGAGGACGCTCGGCGTCGCGGCGACGCGGACGCCCGCGTCCGCGCGCGCCGCGGCGACGGCGTCCGCGAGCGCGCGCGACTCGGGCAGGCGCAGCGCCGGGTCGTCCGTGCGGCACCGGTCCAAAAGCCGCGAGAACGACGCCGTCGGGTCGCCGTGCGAAAGGTCGACGACGGGCGCGAGCGTCACCGCGGCTCTTTGCGCGTGCGCGAGGCGCGCGCCGGCGACGAGCTCGACGGCCGCGGCCTCCTCGGCCTCCAAAGCTTCATCAAAAGCCTCCAGCGCCGCGGTCGCGTGGGCCGTCGCCCGGTCGAGCGCGTGCAAACTCCGCATGTAGGCGCTCGCGGACGCCGCGACCTCGGCGTCGAGCCTGCCGCCGTTCGCGGCCATGGCGTCGACGCGACGGAACTGGGCCTCGCGGAGGTCGTGGTCGTTGGCGAGGACGCCGCGCCGCTTGACGAGCGCGTCGATCTCCGCGGCCTCGTCGACGAGGAGCCGGAGCGGGCCGTCCGCGGCCGCCGCGAGGCGGCCGACGGTGCCGTGCGCGTCCGCGGCCGTCAGCGCGACGGACAGCGCGCCGGGCCCGCGCGGCCACCCGCCGGCGTCGAGCATGGCGCCGCAGGCCACGTCGGAGAGCGCGCGGTGGAGCGCCTCCCAGGCCTCGCTCGCCGTCGCGAGCCGCGCGCGCAGCGTCGCGAGGTTCCCCTGGCCGCGCCGAAACCGCTCGACGAGGCCGTCGAAGTCGTGCGTTTCTGCCATGAGTTTTGGTCGACGGCGCGACCTTTTTAGGCGTGGTCGACCTTGTTCTCGACCGAGACGAACTTTTATTCTCGGGTAGCGCGTCGACGAGCCGAACTTTAGACTGAGCTCGCCGACGGCGTTCTCGACGATTTACAATCAATCTCGTTCTCGACGAGACGACGTCTTATCTCTGGCGCCACAACTCGACGAGCCGAATGAGACTGTTGCGGACTGTTGCACATGTTGCGGCGGTAACTTTTGCGAGATCGCTGAATCACGAGACGACCTGTCTGGAGAGCCTCTCTCGTACATCGTGCCGCCTTAGCAAGGCGAGTAGGCTTTGTTGCTTCAATGAAAAGCCTCCGCGCCCTGATCCTCGGTCCTCCGGGCGGCGGCAAGGGCACGTTGTCGAAGCGCCTCGTGCGCGACTTTGACTTCTTTCACGTCTCCGCCGGCGACGCGCTCCGCCGCGAAGTCGCCGAGGGAACGCGCCTGGGCCGCGAGTCGGAGGCGTTCATCAACGACGGCTTCCTCGTGCCCGACGACGTCGTGACGAAGCTCGTCGTCGGCCAGCTCGCGCGGCCCGGCGACCGGTGGCTCCTCGACGGCTTCCCGCGCAACATCGCCCAGGCCCGCGAACTCGACCGCAACGGCGTCGACATCGACCTCGTGCTCAACCTGGAGATCCCCGAGGCGGAGATCCTCGCGCGGCTCGGCGGGCGCCGCGTGCACGTCGCGTCGGGGCGGAGCTACCACGTCGACTGGAACCCGCCGGAGGTCGAGGGCCTCGACGACGAGACGGGCGAGCCCCTCGTGACGCGCCCGGACGACACGGCCGACGCCATCCGCACGCGCCTCGAGCGCTACGACGACCTCACGCAGGCGCTCGTCGACCATTACGAAAGCCGCGGCGTCCTCGCGACCTTCCAGGGCACGGAGTCCGACGTGATATACCCGTCCATGAAGGCCCACGTCGCCGACATGCTCGCCAGGGATATCTAAACCGCCTAGCATGGCTAAACCGCGCTCCCCGCGTGCCTCGAGAGCCACGCCTCCTGGGCCGCGCGCACGTCCGCGCGCAGCGGGACCGCCAACAGGGCCCAGACGCCGAGAGCCGCCCAGTAAAACATGCCGACGCCGAGGTACGCGTTGAATCCGAACGGGAGCTCCTCGCCGTGCCAAGCGAAGACGAGGCCGTAGTTCCACGCGATGAGCCCGGTAGACAGCGCGAGCTGGACGCCGAACGCGCGCGACGAGCTGCCCTCGCCGCCGCGGGCGGACACGACCAACAGCGGCAGGAAGGTCACCGCGCCGAAGTCGCGATCGCCCGTCGCCGCGACCTTCCAGCAGGCCCACAGCCAGAACGTGAGCGCGGCGTGACGGACGACGGAGAGGCGGAATGCCAGCTCGCGCATCTGCGCGCCGCGCACCGCGCCGAGGAACGGGGCGAGGACGAGGTTGAGCATGGCCGGGACGCCTGGCGGGAGCCGTATCGAATGGAAGGCGAGCATGAGCATGAGAATTGCTGTGGACGCGCTCAGCGGCGCTTCGCCGATGGTGGCAACGAGCAGCGCAAAGCCAGACATGGTCGTGTTGATGCAGGCGCTGTTGGTGCAGGCTTCAGGACGTCTTGAGCACAGCTCTCACAGAGGCCTAGACATGTCGACGATTTGGCCAGCCATAAGCAGCCTCGGGGCAGCACTTTGGCAAAACTGCACGATCTCCTTGCGACTTCGCGGTGCCGACCTGGCCGACATCTCACCCGCGTCTCGTCTCCGGCTCGCCGACCCGCGCACGTCGTCGCGTCCCGCAGCACCGCCACCACCCCACAGCGGCGCTCGACCGCGACGCGCACAGCTTTATACCGCGAGGCACGAACGTCCCGCGCACCGCCGACACACCACTCCACCGCGGAAAAGCATGACGACACCCAAGGTCGCGCTCGTCACGGGCATCACGGGCCAGGACGGCTCCTATCTCACCGAGTTCCTGCTCGAGAAGGGCTACATCGTCCACGGCATCATCCGGCGGTCGTCGTCGTTCAACACGGGCCGCATCGAGCACATCTACAAGGACATGCACGCGGACGACGTGCGCCTCTTCCTCCACTACGGCGACCTGACGGACAGCAGCAACCTCTTCCACATCATCAGCGAGGTCAAGCCCGACGAGATCTACAACCTCGGCGCGATGTCGCACGTCAAGGTGTCCTTCGAGATGAGCGAGTACACGGCCGAGGCCGACGGCGTCGGCGCGCTCCGGCTCCTCAACGCGATGCGCTCCGCGGGGCTCGAGAAGAGCTGCCGCCTCTACCAGGCGTCGACGTCCGAGCTCTACGGCAAGGTGCAGGCCATCCCCCAGACGGAGACGACGCCCTTCTACCCGCGGTCGCCCTACGGCGTCGCGAAGCAGTACGCGTACTGGATGCTCGTCAACTACCGCGAGGCCTACGGCATGCACCTCACGAACGGCATCCTCTTCAACCACGAGTCGCCGCGCCGCGGCCCGACCTTCGTCACGCGCAAGATCACGCGGGCCGTCGTCCGCATCAAGCGCGGCCTCCAGTCGACGCTCTACCTCGGCAACCTCGACGCGAAGCGCGACTGGGGCCACGCGCGCGACTACGTCGAGGGCATGTGGCTCATGGTCCAGCGCGACGTGCCCGACGACTACGTCCTCGCGACGGGCGAGTGCCACAGCGTCCGCGAGTTCGTCGAGGTGAGCTTCGAGCACGTCGGCGTCAAGATCAAGTGGGTCGGCGAGGCCGGCACCGCGGACGAGGTCGGCGTCGACGCGAGCGACGAGAGCCGCGTCCTCGTCAAGATCGACCCCAAGTACTACCGCCCGACGGAGGTCGACCTCCTCGTCGGCGACGCCGCCAAGGCGCGCCGCGACCTCGGCTGGAAGCCCAAGATCACCTTCAAGGCGCTCGCCACGGAGATGGTCGACGCCGACATGGCCGAGCTCGAGAGTGAGCTCAAGTGCCAGTGAGCGGCAGAGTAAAAAGCAGGTGAGTTCGTTTCATCGGGGCGCTTTCGCGCGGCTCTGAGGGCCGGGCCCAGGCTCCGAGTCGCGCGCGGTGCGGTGGGCCGCCTCCACGGTGATCCGACGTCGCGTCTCTCGAGGCCCCAACAAAGAAGCAACTGCGCGAGATCTAGAGCCGAGGGGGAGCGCTCAGAGATTCGGCCAATACACTTCAAGCAGTTCTGGTTGAAGATGTATTGAACTTTTTTATCCACAGGCAGCCCGAAACATGGCCGCCCTCTTCCTTCTCAGTGCGCTCGCTCGCGGTGCCCGCGGATCGATGCTCAACCATCGCCACATTAGCAACAACGTCGCGGACTCCTGCAAGGGCTCGGCCTGCTGCGGCATGGCTCACTACCCGGTGTCTCCCCAGACGACCTTCACCGCCACCTTCGACGTCCCCGGCCTGCCGACGGCGGAGGTCGACGACTCCATCACGGACTTCATTTACTTCAACATCTTCTTCGGCGGCGGCCCCAAGGCCGGGCTCATGAACCAGTTCGTGCCGCAGCTCATGCTCGGGCAGCCGCTCTGCAACTCGACGGGCCCGCCGGCGTACGAGCCGCTCTGGTGCTCGACGAAGACCTACATCTTCGGGACCCAGTACTTCATGGAGATCTCCGTCGGCAACAAGACGCAGTCGCACGCGGCCGCCGGCGAGGTCTTCGAGACGATCCCCGGCGAGACGCTCTTCACCGAGTTCGCGCTCGACGACGATTTCGCGTGGACCTTGACGATGGGCGTCGTCGGCGACCCGACGCGCGTCTCCGTGCTCGAGGTCGCGAAGCCCTACATGGGGCTGCTCGAACCGGACACTTCCTCCTGGAGCGAGGCCGCCTACGACCACGCGAACGTGAACTCGTGCTGGGAGCTCTACGGCATGCGCGACCGGGCGCACTACCCGAGCAGCGGCTCGACGAGCACCATGGTCGTCTCGCGGCCGGCGTCCGCGACCTGGGACTGGTACGCGGGCTGGGTCGAGGACGAGGTCCCGACGTGCCCCGGCGCGCCGTCGAGCGCCATCGACGAGGCGCACAACGCGACGACGCAGGTCGTCACCTGGGTCCTCGACTTTGAGGAGGATGTTTTGTAAGTAAACCCACGTTCGCTTCGCCCTTCAGGGCAAATGGAATGGAGAAGGGCAGAGGGAAAATGGGAGGCAAAAAAAGGGGGGATCATCAGAGCCTGATTCAGAGGTGGAGGCCGCCGCCGCCGGGGGGGAGGGACGACGGCGCGTCGCCGGCGTCGCCGCAGGCGTTGCCGCAGAGGCTGTCGCCGTAGGAGCTGTTGGCGAGGCGCACCTCCGCGTGGGGCGCGTTCGGGTCCGCGGTCTCGTCCGCCGGGATCGCGACGAGCGGCGGCGGGCCGTCGTCGTCCGGCGGCGCGCGTCCCGCGTCCTCGGCGGCGATCTTCGCCGCGGACCGGTCGTCGACGCCGCAGCAGAGCGCGACGTCGTCGTCGGCCTCCTGCTCGTCGGCGAACGTGATCGTGAGGCAGTTCGCGCGCGGCGGCCCGTCCGGCGCCGCGCCGAGCTGCGTGCAGAGGAAGGCGTCGAGGCCGCCGGCCTCGTCGGTCTTCTCCTCGTCGTCCGCCGCCGGGGGCGCGTCGGACCAGGCGTCGGGCCTCTTCTTCTCGGGCGGCGCGTCGTCGTCGTCCGCGGCCGACTTGAGCGCGACGTACGCGCGGCGCTCGTCGTCGCCCATGGCCTGGAACGTCTCCCGCTCCTCGGGCTCGAGCGCGACGTACGCGCGTTTCTCGTCGTCGCCCATGGCCTGGTACGTCTCCCGCTCCTCGGGCGACATGGCCTCGAGGAGCTCCGCCTCGGCGTCCTTCTCGACCTTGCCCTGCTGGCGGAAGCCGACGGCGAACTTGAAGTCGTCCGCGGTGAGCTTGCCCGATATCTCGGGCCGCGCGTGGCGCTTGATGTTCGGGTCGTCCGGGTCCCCGAAGATGGAGTTGCGCGACTTGACGTAGGCCGGGTTCTCCCACATGTAGGGCGCGAAGTGCTTGGACACGTTGCGGCCGCAGGCCTCGAGGAAGACGTAGTACGCCGCGACGAACATGCCCGCGAAGAAGACCATCGTGAGCACGATGCCGAAGAGGTTCTGCGCGAAGCCGCTCTCCTGCTCGTCCTCGGGCACCATGTTCTGCACCGTGAGCATGAGCGCGCCGAAGAAGACGATGACGAGCTGCGTCTGGCAGACCTCGCTGATCGCGTCGTCGTCGTCGTCGATGAACGGCGCGTAGCCGACGTAGACGCGGTAGGAGATCATGGCGACGAGCATGCCGATGGCGACCTGCGTCGCGCCGCCGGCCTTGAAGATCGTGAGCCCCCCCGTGAGGATGAGGCGGCGGCAGACCTCGTAGACGGAGAACCACCAGCACCGCGGCTCGTACTCCTCGATGAGGAACGCGCAGACCGCGATCTCGTCGGCGTACTCGACGTGGCGGATGACGAGCTTGTGCTCCTGCTGCATGACGAGCTCGAAGTCCTCGCGCGCCTTGGCGAAGAGGTCGTCCTCGTCGACCTGGTTCCCGTCGTCCTCGAGCAGCGGGTCGATCATGTGCCTCTTCGACCGGAGCAGGGCCCAGTAGCCCAGGGGCGTCCCGATGGGGTAGATGAAGATCATGAGGAGCACGTAGAGCCGCCAGGAGTCGTAGCGCGGCTCGTTGCAGCGGATGTTCGGGTCCGCGTTGAGCACGGACAGCATGGCGCGCGCCTTGCCGTTGTACGTCGCGCCCATCTCGTACTCCGAGCACCCAAAGTACTGGAAGCAGACGCTCGAGCAGCCCGGCAAGACGCAGAAGCTCAGCAGGAGCAAAGCATACGACGCGCTGTTCTTCAGGTGCTTCCGCTTGTCGGGGTCCGTGACGCAGAGGAACCGGAGGCCGACGTAGGCGACGATGAGCGCGGCGACGATGAAGGGCAGCGTCGTCGTCATGACCATGGAGTTGAAGAAGGACACGGACCCGTAGCACTCCAGCGGGATCACGCTGAAGACGTCGAAGCTAAAGTAGTTGGAGAAGGAGATGGGCGCCTGCATGATGTCCGGGAACGGGATCTGCGGGAGCTGCCACGTCATGGACCCGATGATCTGGTAGAGGCCCATGACGATCTTGATCTTCGTGATGTACTTGGCGTAGTTCGTGCCGCCGTCGCCGTGGCCGTGGCCGTCCGCGTCGACGTCCTCGTCGACGTCCGCGTCGACCTCGGCGACGTCCGCGGCGTCGCCCTCGACCTCGGCGGCGACGTCGCCGGCGCCGTCCGCGGCGTCGTCGATGCCGTCGTCCATGGCGTCCTCGCCGCCCTTGACGAGGCCCATGATGATGAGGTCCTGCAGCTTGCCGATCTGCTTCATGGAGCAGTACTTGCGCGCGTACCAGACGGCGACGGCGCTCAGCACGGCGAAGATCATGGCCGCGCCGATGAGCTTGCCCGGCGAGCCCGTGATGTCGATCGCGGGGCTCGCGCACTCGACGCACCGGTTGACGACGGAGTCGTACATCCAGTTGTCCTCGCAGAGGCCGCACTTGACGCCGTAGTGGCCCTCCTTGCACTGCGTGTCCGTGTCGTTGCCGCCCTTGCAGGCGCCGCTGAGCTGGCAGATGTAGGCCTGGTCCGCGAACTTGTTCGTCCGCCACCAGCCGCGCTCGACCTCGAGGCCCTCGATGGTCATGCCCGGGTAGTCGCAGTCGAGCCCCTCCTCCTGCTGGTCGTCGCAGTTGACGCAGCAGTCCGCGCACTGCGTGCCCCCGCCCGTGATGGCCTCGTCCGTGCCCAGGAGCTCGTAGTACTCGGTCATGGACGCCTCGAGGGCGTCGCGGCCGTCCGTGAGCCAGTAGACCGAGTCCCAGTAGTTGCCCGACACGCAGGCGTCGCAGTAGGTCGCGCCGGACTCGACGGTCGTCAGCGGGTTCGCGCAGGTGTAGCAGCCGCCGGCCGTCGCCGTGTGGTTCGTGTACTTGCCGAGGGAGCAGTCGATGCACGCCGCGTACTCCGTCGCCGAGTACGTGCCCACGGGGCACTCCGTCTGGTTCGTCGCGCCGGAGACGGGCACGTAGTAGCCCTGGTCCGCCTTCTTGCACTCCGTCTGGGCCGGCTGGTCCGTGTAGCGGCCCGTGCCGCAGAGGACGCAGCCCGCCGCGCCGGCCTCGGAGTACTTGCCGCGCGGGCACTGCGTGTAGGAGTCGACGTCGGGGCTCACCTTGTTCCAGCCGTTGGAGCGCGACCGCGACGCGCCGTCGATGGACCGGTCGCCGTCGACGCCCGCGCCCAGGGCGCCCAGCGTCGCGTTCGCGTACCGGCGGATGTTCGCCGCGAGCGTGCCGTCCTCGACGGCCGCGGTGATCGCGTCGACGAGCTGGGACGTGATGAGGTCCGTGGCCGACGTCAGGTTCTCGCCCGACGCCGCCGTGTAGTTCGTGCTGAGGGTGAAGGGGAGCGTCGTGTAGACGTAGCCCTCGTCGAGGCGCCGCGCGTCGTCGTCGGCCGTCGAGTCCGTGGCCTCGCCGAGGCCCGAGATCTCCGCCGAGTCGACGAGGTCCGAGAAGGAGTCGTCGCCCGCGAAGGTCGTCTCGAGGACGGTCAGCAGGTCGGACTGCGTGGAGGCGTCGCCGTTGACCTCGTCCGCGGTCACGTTGCCGAGCGTCAGCGACGACTCGAGCTCGATGCCGTAGACCTCGTTGGGCGCCGCGACGGTGCCCGCCGCCGTCGTGTAGCAGGACGCCGCGCCGGCGTCGGACGTCGTGCCGCTCTCGCAGAGGTCGCAGCGCGCCTGGCCGCTGCCCGAGTAGCGGCCCGCGGAGCACTCGACCTCGGCCGTCGCGCCCGTCACGGACACGAAGTAGCCGCCGTTCGTGAGGCCGCACTCGCTCTGGCCCGCGTTGGCGTTGTACCTACCCTCCTGGCACTTGGTGCAGGCCGCCTGGCCCATGGAGCTGTACTTGCCCGCGGGGCACGCGTCCTGCGCGGACGCGCCGTGGTAGTCGACGTAGTAGCCCGCGTCCGTGAGCGAGCAGGTCGTCGTGCCCTCGGCGTCCTGGTAGGTGCCCTTGGTGCACTTGGTGCACGTCGTCTGGCCGCTGCCGGAGTAGCGGCCCACGGGGCACGGCGTCGCCGCCGACGCGCCGAGCTCGTCGACGTACGTGCCGCCGTCGGCCGTGGAGCAGGCCGTGTTGCCCTCCGTCGACGCGTAGGTGCCGCGGGCGCAGTCCGTGCACACGGTCTGGCCGCTGCCGCTGTAGGTGCCCGCGGGGCAGTCGACGCCGCCCGTCGCGCCCTCGTCGGCGACGTACGTGCCCGCGTCGCTGATGGAGCACGAGCTCGTGCCGAGCTCGTCGGCGTACTTGCCCGGGTCGCAGGCGCTGCAGGCGCTCGCGCCGGACCCGCTGTAGAGGCCCAACGCGCAGGGCGTCGTGGCCGTGGACCCGGTCTCGCCGACGTAGGACCCGGCCTCGGCGAGCGTGCACGCCGCGACGCCCTCGTCGGCCGCGTAGAAGCCCAGGGGGCAGTTCGAGCAGACCGTGGCGCCGGACCCGCTGTAGCGCCCGGCCTCGCAGGCGTCCTCCGCCGTCTGGCCCGGGCGCGTCACGTAGGAGCCCGCGTTCGCGAGGCTGCAGGACGTCGAGCCGTCCGCGTCGTTGAACGTGCCCGACGCGCAGAGCTCGCAGGAGTGGGCGCCGGAGCCCGCCGTGTAGCGGCCCGCGGGGCAGGCGAGCTGGCCCGTCGCGCCCGTGTAGGACACGTAGGAGCCCGCGTCGCTGAAGAGGCACGTCGACATGCCGCTCGTCGACGTGTACGAGCCCGGGTCGCACCAGACGCAGACGGAGGCGCCGCTCAGCGAGTACTTGCCCGCGGGGCAGAGGGCCGTGCCGGAGAAGGACTCCTCGCCCCAGAGCTCGTAGGACGGCTCCGGGTCGTCGACGCTCTCGACCGTCGCGCCCGCGAGCGACCCGGCGAACGCGGCCTCGAGGTCGCCGGCCGCGTCGAGCGTCGCGTCGTAAAAGTCGAGCGACACGAGGGCCTTCACCTCCTCCATGTCCTCGTCGGCCGTCGCCGAGTAGTTCGCCGCGAGGCTGAAGGGGATGGACGCGCCGTCCATGGGCCCGACGTCCGCGACGCGGATCGTGTCGACGGGGTCGAGGACGACGCGGTCGCTGAAGGCGTTGTCGCCCCCAAAGGCCGCGAGGAGCGCCGCCTTGACGTCGTCGGCGTCGGCGCTCGACGCGCCGTCGACGTTGAGCGCCGACGCGAGCGTGATGACGTAGATCTCCGCGGACGCGGCGATCGAGCCCGCGTCGGACGTCGTGCACGCGGCCGAGCCCTCGTCGGACGTCGTCCCCGGGCCGCAGATCTGGCAGAAGGACGCGCCGGAGCCGCTGTAGCGGCCGGAGACGCAGGGGAAGGGCTCCGTGGACCCCTCGAGGGGCACGTAGTAGCCGCCGTCGCTCAGGCCGCACGCGCTCTGCGCGTCGGCGTCCGTGTAGCGGCCGACCTCGCACGCCGCGCAGGCCGACGCGCCCGAGCCGCTGTAGGAGCCCGCGGGGCAGGGGTCCGCCGCGGACTGGCCCGCCGACGCGACGTGGTAGCCCGCGTCGCTCAGCGTGCACGACGTCGACCCCTCGGCGCCGGCGAACGACGCGAGGCCGCAGGGCTCGCACGCGGTCGCGCCGGAGCCGCTGTAGGTGCCCGCGGGGCACGCGGTCTGGGCCGAGGCGCCCTCGGCGCCGACGTAGCCGCCGCCGGCGACGAGGGAGCAGGACGTGGACCCCTCGCCGGCCGCGTACGTGCCGACGGCGCACGCGTCGCACGCCGTCGCCGCGGAGCCGCTGTAGTGGCCCGCGGGGCACGGCGTCTGCGCCGACGCGCCCGCGACGCCGACGTAGCCCCCGGCGCTCACGGTCGTGCAGGACGCGGCGCCGGCGTCGTTGTCCGAGTAGGTGCCCGCGGCGCAGTCGGAGCACGCGGACGCGCCCGAGCCCGAGTACGTGCCCGGCGGGCACGGCGTCTGCGTCGAGGACCCGGCGACGTCGACGTACTTGCCCGCGTCCGCGAGGGAGCAGGCCGACTGGCCCGTCTCCCCCGTGTAGAAGCCCGGGCTGCACTGCGTGCACTCGGACGCGCCGGAGCCGGAGAACTTGCCCGGCGCGCACGGCGTCTGCGCCGACGCGCCCGCGACGCCGACGTAGCCCCCGGCGCTCACGGTCGTGCAGGACGCGGCGCCGGCGTCGTTGTCCGAGTAGGTGCCCGCGGCGCAGTCGGAGCACGCGGACGCGCCCGAGCCCGAGTACGTGCCCGGCGGGCACGGCGTCTGCGTCGAGGACCCGGCGACGTCGACGTACTTGCCCGCGTCCGTGAGGGAGCAGGCCGACTGGCCCGTCTCCCCCGTGTAGAAGCCCGGGCTGCACTGCGCGCACTCGGACGCGCCGGAGCCGGAGAACTTGCCCGGCGCGCACGGCGTCTCGGCCGTCGCGCCCGTCGTGGGCACGTAGGACCCCGCGTTCGACAGGCCGCAGGACGTCATGCCCGCCGAGGCCTGGAACGTGCCCGCGGCGCACAACGAGCAGTCGCGGGCGCCGGAGCCCGCCGTGTAGGTGCCCGCGGCGCACGTCGACTGCGCCGTCGCGCCCGACGTCGCGACGTAGGACCCCGCGTCGGAGAAGAGGCACGACGTCTGGCCGTCGATGGCCGTGTAGGAGCCCGGGTCGCAGGTGATGCAGTAGGACGCGCCGCTCAGCGAGTAGGTGCCCGCGGGGCACTGGCTCTGGCCGTCGAACGACGCGGCCGACACGAGCTCGTACGTCGGCAGCTCCGTCTCGTCGACGGCCTCGAGGGTCTCGTCCTCGTCGACGGACGCGTCGGCGAGCGCGGGCGCGCCGGCGGCGGCGACGGCGGCCTGGAGGTCGCCGCTGTAGGTGTCGAGCTTGATGTCGTCCGTGAAGTCGTCGAGGATGTAGGGCACGACGTCGGACACGTTCTCCGCGGCGGACGCGCTGTAGTTGGCGCGGACCGTGAAGGGGATCGTCGCCGTCGCCGTCGCCAGCAGGCCGCGCACGTGGGCGCGCCGGCGGCCCAGGGCCACCGCGGGGCCCACGGTCCCGATGGCGACGGAGTCGACGAGCTCGGAGAAGGGGTCCGACGCGAGGAGCTCCGCGAGCGCGTCGGCGTACGCGGCCTGGGACGCCGGGTCGCTGTTGAAGAGGTCGACGTCGACGCCGTCGAAGACGAGGCTCGACGCGATCTCGAGGCCGTAGACCTCCGCGGACGGCGCGATGTAGCCCGCGTCGGACGTGACGCACGTCGCGGACGCGTCCTTCGACGTCGTGCCCGTGGCGCAGATCTGGCAGAAGGACGCGCCGGAGCCGCTGTAGCGGCCCGCCGCGCAGGGCTCCGGCTCCGTCGACCCCGTCACGGCGACGTAGTAGCCGCCGCCGGAGAGGCCGCAGCTCGTCTGCGCGAGCGCGTCCGTGTACCTGCCCTCCTCGCAGGCCGTGCAGGCCGAGGCCCCCGAGCCGCTGTAGAAGCCGCCGGGGCAGGCCGTCTGGCTCGCCGCGCCCGACGCCTCGACGTAGTAGCCGCCGTCCGCGAGCGAGCACGACGTCGACCCGTTCGCGGCCGCGAACGTCGTCGCGCCGCAGGCCGTGCACTCGGACTGGCCGCTGCCGCTGTAGCGGCCCGTGGGGCAGGGCACGCCCGCCGTCGCGCCGTCGAAGTCCACGTAGGACCCCGCGTCCGTCGTGTCGCAGGACGACTTGCCCGACTCCGTCGCGTACTTGCCCGGCGTGCACGGCGAGCACGCGGACGCGGCCGTGCCCGAGTAGGAGCCCGGCGCGCAGGCCGTGTCGCCGCTCGCGCCCGTCGCGTCGACGTAGGCGCCCGCGCTCGACAGCGAGCAGGCGAGGCTGCCCGTCGCGGACGCGTACGTGCCGACGGCGCAGTCCGTGCAGACCGTCTGACCGCTGCCGCTGTACGTGCCCGCGGGGCAGGGCGTCGCCGCCGTCGCGCCGGCGGCGTCGACGTAGGTGCCCGCGTCCGCCGTGTTGCACGACGTCTTCGTGAGCACGCTGTCGTCCGTGTAGGACCCCGCGAGGCAGTCCGTGCACTCCGTCTGGCCGCTGCCGCTGTACTTGCCCGAGGGGCAGGGCGTCCCCGCCGTCGCGCCGCCGGCGGGCACGTAGGTGCCGCCGTCGGCGAGCACGCAGGCCGTGTTGCCCTCCGTCGCGACGTAGGTGCCCGCGGCGCAGGGCGTGCACTCCGTCTGGCCGCTGCCCGAGTACGTGCCGACGGGGCACGCGGTGCCCGCGGACGCGCCCGCCGCGCCGACGTACTCGCCCGGGTTCGCCGACGTGCAGCCGCTCTGGCCCGTCTCCGCGTTGTACTTGCCCGCCTCGCAGCCCGTGCACTCGGACGCGGCCGTCGCCGAGTACGTGCCGACGGCGCACGCGGCCTGCTCCGTGAGGCCCGGCGTCGCCGCGTAGTAGCCGGCCGTCGTCAGCGTGCAGCCCGTGCCGCCCGTCTCGGCGTAGTAGCGCCCGGCGGGGCAGTCGTCGCACTCGCTCTGGCCCGCGCCCGAGAACGTGCCCGCGGGGCACGCCGTCGCCTCGGACTGGCCCGCGAGGCCGACGTACGAGCCCGCCGCGGCGGTCCAGCACGAGTCCGACGCGGCGTTGGGGCTGTAGGTGCCGATGGCGCAGTCCGCGCACTCCGTGGCGCCCGTGCCCGCGTACTTGCCCGCGGGGCACGCCGTCGCCTCGGACTGGCCCTCCTCGGTGACGAACGTGCCCGCGGTCACGAGCGTGCACGACGTCGCGCACGCCTCCGTGCCGTAGCTCCCGGCCTCGCAGTTCGTGCAGGCCGTCGCGCCCGCGCCGGAGTACTTGCCCGCGGGGCAGCAGACGCCCTCGGAGGCGCCGAGGAAGTCGACGTACGTGCCCGCGAGCGACGTCGAGCACGACGACGTGCCCGCGTTGGGGCTGTAGGTGCCGATGGCGCAGTCGACGCAGGCCGACGCGCCCGTCGACGAGTACGTGCCCGCGGGGCAGGCGAGCTGCTCCGAGGCGCCCTCGGCGGCGACGTAGCTGCCGCCGTTGACGAGCTGGCACGACGTCGACGCGGCGCTCGGCGCGTAGTAGCCCCGCTCGCAGTCCGTGCACGCGGACTGGCCGCTGCCCGAGTAGGTGCCCGTCGGGCACTCGGCGCCGGCGGACGACCCGGCGACGGCGACGAACTCGCCGGGGTCCGCGTTCGAGCACGCGTTCGCGCCCTCGGCCGCCGCGTACGTGCCCGCGGGGCAGTCGACGCACTCGGACGCGGCGCTCCCGGAGTACTTGCCCGCGGGGCACGGCGTCTCCGCCGACGCGCCGTCGACGGCGACGAAGGACCCGGCCGTCACGAGCGTGCAGGACGTCATGCCCGTGGCCGCCGCGAACGAGCCCGGCGCGCAGTCCTCGCACTCGGACGCCGCGCTGCCCGAGATCTTGCCAACAGCGCAGGCCGTCTGCGCCGACGCGCCCAAGGCGGCGACGTAGGACCCCGCGTCGGCGTTCGTGCACGACTCCTGGCCCGTGAGGGCGACGTAGCTGCCCAACTTGCAGTTCGTGCACGCGGACGCGCCCGAGCCCGAGATCGTGCCCGCGGCGCAGGCCGTCGTCGCCTTGGCGCCGGCCGCCGCCACGTACTGGCCCGGCGCCGCGATGGTGCAGGACTGAGCGCCGCTGAAGGCGCTGTAGTAGCCCGCGGGGCAGTCGTCGCACTCGTCGGCGGAGCCCTGCGAGTACGTGCCCGCGGGGCAGACGTCGGGCGCGGCCGCGCCCGTCTCGTTGTTGCTGAAGCCCGCGGGCGAGTTGAGGCAGATGGCCTGGGCCGTGTCCGGCTGGTACGTGCCCGTCGGGCAGGCCGTGCAGAAGGCGACGGACCCGAGCGAGAAGTAGCCCGCGGCGCAGTCGACGCACGCCGTCTGCCGCGTGCCGTTCGCGGCCGTGCCCGGGAGGCAGACGGAGCAGTAGAGCGACTCGATGTCGGCGCTGTAGGTCCCGTCGACGCAGTCGATGCACTCCGTCGCGCCCGTCGTGTCGACGTAGGAGCCCGCCGCGCAGCTCTCGCAGTCGAAGACGGAGTCGTGCGCGGTCACGTCGCCCCAGTCGCCGTTCGCCGTGCCGACGGGGCACGCATCGCAGGCGAGGATCCCCATGTGCGTGAGGTGGCTCTCGTCCTCGCCGAGGTAGCGGCCCGCGACGCAGACCTCGCAGGCGTCGTTGCACTTGGCCACGTTCGACGAGCACGTCGGGTCGTTCGCGTTGATGGCGTCCGTGTGCTCGAGGCCGTCCTCGCTGTACTTGCCCGCGGGGCAGGGGTAGGTGTAGTAGTAGCGGGTCACGGAGAGCGAGCCCGAGGCCGCCGACGCCGTCGTCAGGATGTCCTGGTCGTCGCCGTCGTTCGCGTGGTAGAGGAACGCGATGCACGCGTCGCCGATGTTGATCAGGTCCGTGTCGACCATGAAGATGCGCGCGAGGACGAGCTGGCCGCCGTCCTCGCAGCTGAGGAACTCCGTGTTGCCGTCCCCGTTGGCCACGCTGTTCGTCACCGTCGTGTCGTAGAGCTGCAGGTCGACTTCCTCCATCTTGACCGTCGTGCCGCCCCTGTTGCCGTCGAACGTCGTGTAGCGGATCTCCGCGAGGTAGCCGTCGGCGCCGTCGATCATGACGGCGGACCCGTCGCCGTCGTCCTTCACGTAGCCCTCCGAGAACGTCGAGTTGTGCAGGTAGAAGTGGCCGTTGGTGACGAAGAGCCCGCCGCCCTTGTAGTGCGCGCAGCAGAGGTTGAACGTCGTCTCGTAGGCAAAGATCGTCGCGTCGCTCGTGACGTAGACCCCGCCGCCGTACTGGGCGCCGAACCACCGCATTGTCACGCGCTCCAGGGTCACCGTCGCGCCGTCGGTGATGTAGATGGCGTTCCCGCTCAGGACCGACGCCGTGCTCTCCGCGCGGCACGCGTTCTCGATGCCGTCGACGTTCGCGTCCTCGCCCGCGTTGATGAGGCCGCCGACGAAGGTGACGTCGCTGATCTCGAGGTCCGCCTGCTGCGCGACGATGAACATGCCGTGCGTGTGCGACGACGCGGTCACGGTGTAGTCGAGCCCGTATATTTGCCCGACCGCGCTCGAGCCGGAGAAGGTGATCGCCGCCGTCGTCGTGAAGTCGGCCCCGATGGTGATGGGCCGCCCCGCCCCGCCCGCTATCGCGCTCATTTCGTCGCTGAGCTCGGCGTAGGACGTCACGGACGCGAAGAGCGCCGTCGGCGCGTTCGATATCGTGGGAACCGCCGTCGTCGGCGCGAACGTCGGCGCCGGCGTCATCGTCGGCGCCGCGCTCCCCTCGGTCGGCGCGAGCGTCGTCGGGGGCTGCGTCTCGCAGCTCAGCTGGACGGTGCTCCCGGAGATGAGGATCTCGGCCTGGAAGGGCGCGCCGCCGCTCGATTCGACGTTGTGGTTGAAGAGCCAGGAGATCTCGTCCGGGTTGTCACCCTCGTCGATCTCGACGTCGATGCATCCGCTGAAGAGGCACACGTCGCCGCTCACGAAGACGCCCTCGCTGTTGTACTCGGGCTCGCCGTAGTATCCGTACGCGTAGTTGTTCCAGTATTGGAGCCGCCGCGCCTCGGCCGTGCCGTTCCCCGTGGCGCCGCCGCGCTTCGACGTCAGCGCTTCCACCTTTTCGCGCACCCCGGGCAGGTCGCTGATGAGGCGCGTGGGCAAGGCGACGACGGCCTGGCGGCGCCGCTTCCCGGCGGCGCGCGCGAGGCGCCGGCCCTCCCAGGTTCCGTCGTTGTAGTCGTCCATGTGGTAATCGTCGTTGGAGTAGTCGTCCATGTGGTAATCGTCGTTGGAGTAGTCGTCCTGGTGGTAATCGTCGTTGGAGTAGTCGTCCTGGTGGTAATCGTCGTTGGAGTAGTCGTCCGTGGGGTAGTCGTCCATGGGGTAGTCGTCGCCGCCGTAGGACGTGTCGCTGAAGCAGCACGCGACGCAGTCCTCCTCGCCGTCGGAGGGAAGGCCGTCGCTGTAGCACGACGAATCGTCGGAGTGGCTGTCGCAGGACTCGCAGCTGCCGTAGGTGCCGTAGTCGAAGTTGCAGAACTCGCCGTCCGAGCAGCCGCAGTCCGAGTAGGCCCGGCATTCGGAGCTGCCGTAGTTGTAGTCGTCGTAACTCCAGTCGTCGCTGAAGACGGTGCCGCCGACGACGCTGAAGCTGTCGACGCTGATGGAATCGAACACGTCCTCCACGCCGTAATCGGACGCCGCGTCGTTGATCGCGTCGATGATAACGTCGGCGTTGACGCCGCTGAGGCTCGACTGCGTGTTGCTGATCTCCGAATCGTCCCAAAGGTTCAGCGTGAAGGAGGCGTAGACCGTGTCGGTGAGCCGCCGCCGATCCGCGGCGCCGTCCTCGGCGTCGCCGAGCCGCCGCCCGCGCCGCCGGTCATAGGAGTAGAGGTAGACCTCGACCTGGTCCTCGGGGAGGTCTGCGACGTCCGCCATGGCGGCGATGAACACGTCTTCGTTGTCCTCGGCGTCGGTGTAGGCGATCTCGCTGAAGCCCACGTCGATGTAGAGCGTGTCGGGGACGCAGATCCCGCACGCCGTCGGGCACGCGTCCCAGCCCTCGACGCCGTCGCTCGACTCGCTGTCGCACCAGCTCGAGCCTCCCTCCGTCTCGATCCACTCGCAGGTGCGGCTCGAGAAGTAGTTGATGTTCCAGCTCGTGCTGTCGGTGCACCCGTCGTCGTCGCCGTAGGCCGTCGCGTCGTCGCTGTAGTCGTCGTCGTCGTCGTCGTAGCCGTAGTCGTCGCCGCCGTAGGACGTGTCGCTGCAGACCGCGGGGGTGTCGTCGAAGAAGCCGGCCGCGACGATGACCGTCGCGCTCGTGTCCGACATCTCGCTCGTGCCGACGCAGTCGCAGGTCTCGTAGCAGTAGCACAGCTGCGACGTGGGCACCCACATGGCCGCCTCGATCTCCAGGGGGTTCAGGAGCATGAGGCAGCTGTCCCAGCACGCCATCTCGCTCGTCGCGCGGCCGACGTTGTTCTTGACCTGCGTGTTGTAGCTGCGGCAGACGCCGAAGGTCTGCGAGTCCCGCGTTTCCCACGCGTCGGGCAGCGACGACGTCAGCGTCGCGCCCGTGCCCAGGATGGTCTCGTCGGAGTCGAGGCTGAATTCCGCGAGGGTCGTGCTGCCGGACTTCATCTGGAAGTAGGCGCCGTTCCAGCCGTCGCCGTACTGGTCGAACATGAGAAACTGGAACACGCTGCAGGACGTCGGCACCGCCGTCGGCACGGGCGACAGCGACGGCTTGGGCGTGATCGTCGGGGAGGCGGTGAACGAGCACCCCGACGCCGAGAGCGCGAGGCCGCCGCTGTCGACGACGGAGAACGTCACTTCGTCGTAGATGTCGCCGGAGACGACGCCGGCGATGTCCCACGTGATCTCGGACGGAAAGATGCCCTCCTCGGTCGGCGTCACCGTGTAGCAGCCCTCCGGGAGGCACATGGCCTGGGTGCCGGTCTTGCCGTCGTAGAACGTCGCCGTCGCCACCGACGTCGACGAGTCCGTGCCCTCCTCGGAGTAGATCGTGATCTCGCCGCCGTTCCAGCCGTCGCCGTACGCGTCGTACATGTTGATCGTCGCCGTCGCGCACTGCCCCGACGGCGCCGGCGTCGACGTCGGCGACTCCGTCGAGTCGCTCGCCAGGTAGCACGTGCCGCAGGCGTCGTAGCACGCCAGGTACGCCTGCTGGCCGTCGTCGTTCTCCCAGCTGTAGCACTTGGCGTCGATGTTGTTTTGCGTCCACAGGTACGCGCAGTCCTTGTCCGGGCTCCCGGACTTGTACCACGTCGTCGAGTCGTCGCAACCTTCGTAGCCGTAGCCGTAGTCGTCGCCGCCGTAGTCGTAGGACCAGGCGTCGTCTTCCATGACGGTCCCGCCGACGAGGGCGTAGGATTGTGTACTGAACGACGAGAACGTCGACGACGCGCCTTCGTCGGCGGCCGCGTCCGCGACCGCCGTGTCGATGTCGGAGTCACTTATCTCCGAGAGACTATTCGTCGAGTCGCTGTACTCGCTGTAGTCGTAGTAGGTGAGCGTGTAATAGGCGACGACCGACGAGTCCTCCAGCCGCCGTCGACCGCGCTTTCGTCGACCGCCTTCGTAGAAATAGACGGCGATCTGCTCCGCGGGGATGTCTGCCAGCGTTGCCATGGCGAGAATGAAGACGTACTCGTTGTCCTCGGCCTCCGACAGCGTCATGCCGTCGAACAACATCTCGACCTCGAGCGTCGGCGTGTTGTCGTCCGTGGGGTAGTCGTCCGTCGGCGTGTTGTCGTCCGTGGGGTAGTCGTCCGTCGGCGTGTTGTCGTCCGTGGGGTTGTCGTCCGTCGGCGTGTTGTCGTCCGTGGAGTGGTCGTCCGTCGGCGTGTTGTCGTCCGTGGAGTGGTCGTCCGTGGAGTAGTCGTCCGTCGGCGTGTTGTCGTCCGTGGAGTGGTCGTCCGTGGAGTAGTCGTCCGTCGGCGTGTTGTCGTCCGTGGGGTAGTCGTCCGTCGGCGTGTTGTCGTCCGTGGGGTAGTCGTCCGTCGGCGTGTTGTCGTCCGTGGGGTTGTCGTCCGTCGGCGTGTTGTCGTCCGTGGAGTGGTCGTCCGTCGGCGTGTTGTCGTCCGTGGAGTGGTCGTCCGTGGAGTAGTCGTCCGTCGGCGTGTTGTCGTCCGTGGAGTGGTCGTCCGTGGAGTAGTCGTCCGTCGGCGTGTTGTCGTCCGTGGGGTAGTCGTCCGTCGGCGTGTTGTCGTCCGTGGGGTAGTCGTCCGTCGGCGTGTTGTCGTCCGTGGAGTAGTCGTCCGTCGGCGTGTTGTCGTCCGTGGGGTAGTCGTCCGTCGGCGTGTTGTCGTCCGTGGGGTTGTCGTCCGTCGGCGTGTTGTCGTCCGTGGAGTGGTCGTCCGTCGGCGTGTTGTCGTCCGTGGAGTGGTCGTCCGTGGAGTAGTCGTCCGTCGGCGTGTTGTCGTCCGTGGAGTGGTCGTCCGTGGAGTAGTCGTCCGTCGGCGTGTTGTCGTCCGTGGGGTAGTCGTCCGTCGGCGTGTTGTCGTCCGTGGGGTAGTCGTCCGTCGGCGTGTTGTCGTCCGTGGGGTTGTCGTCCGTCGGCGTGTTGTCGTCCGTGGAGTGGTCGTCCGTCGGCGTGTTGTCGTCCGTCGAGTAGTCGTCGTAGTCCTCGAGCCTCCGTCGCGCGCCGCAGCCCGCGCGACACCGCCCCGGGCAGCCGACGCTCGCGACGATCCCAGCGCTGCTCTTCCAGCTGGAGCAGTGGCGCGTCGAGGAGATGCTGCGGCAGTCGAGCGTCGGCTCGCCATGCTTGTGCCATGTCGGATCATCGCGACAACCCGCCTCCGAAAGGGCAGCCCGCGCAGCCCCGACGCGCGCGGTCGCGCACAAGACGGCGACCACCAAGGGCAGCCGCCGCATCATCGGCACCTCCGACGGGAGCCGGCGCTTCGCAGCTCGCCGCGGAGAAGCCGACACCTCTGCCCGCCGATGGGCTGCCCTCCCAAATTATGCGTGACGGTTGCTTGAATGTCAAGGATGACCACTTTCTCGGAGCCACTCATATCCAAGAGCCGACCCTTTCTTTTCTTCGCTTCCGTGCATTTTTCAACGAAGAAGGCTTCGGTTTCAATACTAAGTCTTCTCTCCACTTTTATACTTTTCTCTCCCACTCGGCGGCCGGGGCTTCGCATGGAGCGCCGTTAGCCCGTCCCCGCCGGCGGCGGGAGCGCGCGCATTGGCCCCCCGTCGTCGGGCCCCTCCTCCTGCGCGCCGCCGGCGGACTCCTGGAGGAGGGCGCTCGTCGTCTTGAGGAGGTTGCGCATGGCGGAGAGCTCGCGCTTGAGGCGGTCGTTCTCGTCGGCGAGGGCCGCGAGGGCGTCGTCGTCGTTGGGCGGCGCGCGGACGAGGGCCTGGTGCGCGGCGGGCGGCGCGAGGCGCGGCGGGTCGTCGGCGTCGCACGCGGGCGGGAGGAGGTGCGCGAGGACCGCGGTCGACGTCGGCGGCGGCGGGAGGCGGCGGAGGCCCGGCGCGGGCGCGACGACCTCGACGGGGTGGGCGACGTAGAGGTGGGCGCCGGGCGGGCGGCCCGGGGGCACGGCGACGACGACGCGCGCGGGCGGCGCGCCGGCGGCGCCGCCGTCGTCGGGCAGGGGCACGGCGAGGGGCGACCCGGCGTAGGCGCCGGAGGGCACGGCGACGCGCACGGCGCCGAGGACGCGGAGCACGTCGCCGGGCCGCGCGGCCTCGGGCACGACGATCTCGACGTCGCGGCTCCCGTCGACGCGCGCGCGGACGACGTCGCGCGGCCGCGCGCCCGCGCCGAGCGACAC